AATACCCAGTTCAAGCAATAAAAAACGATAAAAGGGTCATCCGAAGATTAGCTATAAGTTTTTTCTTGGATGGAGATGTTCTGTACAAAAAAAAGTCATGATTAAGTATTGTTGAGGTGTGTAAATAAGGTCAAAGCAAGAAAAATTATTGAAAATATACATAATAGAATATGTGAGGCACATGTCAATGGACATATAATGGCAAAATAGATCATGAGAGCATGGTACTACTAGTTGATAATAAAGAATGATTGCATTGATTACGCTTAAAAATATCATAAATGTCAGATATATGCTAAGAAGATTCATGCTCCGCCATCTTATTTACATATTTTAGCACCACCCTAGCCATTTTTTATGTGGGGCATGGATGTCATTGGCCCTATTATCCCAAAAGCTTCTAATGGGCATAAGTTTATTTTCATGATGATAAATTACTTCACGAAATGAGTGGAGGTAGCATCATATGCAAATGTAACACGATTTGTGATTTATAAATTTATAAAAAGAGATATTATTTATAGATATAAACTTTTGGAGAGAATCATTTTAAACAATGTTAAGAATCTAAATAGTAAAATGATACAAGAAATATGTGCCCAATATAAGATCAAGCATCATAACTCGGTGTCATACCATCCGAAAATGAATGAAGCAGTTAAGGCAGCTAACAAAAATATAAAAAGAATTCTTGAAAAGATGATCGAAACCTATAAAGATTGTCATGAGAAATTATCATTTGCACTGCATGCATATCAAACGTCAGTGCGCACCTTTACTGAGGTAACTCTATTTTTTTTGGTTTGTGGGATAGAAACTGTATTGCCAATAAAAGTAGATATCCCATCACTGAGGATTTTGAAAGAAGTTGAACTGAAAGAGGCTGAATGGGTTCAAAAGCACTATGAACAATTGAATTTCATTGAAAAAAAGAGGTTGACTGCATTGTGCCATGATCAGCTATATCAAAGAAGGATGATGAGGGCTCATAACAAAAAAGTTTAACCTTGTTGCTTTCTAGAATAAGAGTTGGTCTTGAAAAGAATTCTTCCAAATCAGCACGATAATAGAAGAAAATGGACTCCAAATTATGAAGGGTTATATGTGGTGAAACGAGCTTTCTCGGATGGAGCGTTGATATTGGCTGAGATGGATGGAAATGATTTGCCCCATCCTATAAATTCTGATGTTGTGAAAAAGTATTATGCTAAAAAAATAAAATAAAAAAAAAATAAAAAAATTGAAAAAAAAATAAAGAAGGAAAAAATGAAAAAAAAGACTCAAAGCGAAAACTCCAAAAGGACGATTTGAGTCATAGGGGGTTTATCTAAGTTGAAAACCTAAAAAGACAACTTAGATAAGGAGAACACAACATCAAATCTGAAAATTCATTGACACGGAGGCTAGCGTATTTTGAAAAGCTCTAAGTTGTTAAATGCATTAGGTGGTTGAGTTTTGAAAAAAATCTCAAGATATGTTATCATGATTGTCTGATTGTTCATTTTTGGGCATTGTTTCCCCATACCTATCTTTGTAATTCTTTTATGGCCAAACTTTACCAACATTTTTTGCTAATAAAAGACATTCTACTTCATCTTTATGTGTCTTTTTTGTTGACTATTTCCTAACTATTCTTATTCTTTTCTCTTTAATACCTTACAATAGAAAAAATGTGTGAATACATTCTTACTTTTTGAGATTAAAATAATGACTGATAAATGAATAATAGCGTGAAAGATTTTTACATTACATTAGAAAGGTCGAGAGTGGTAAGGGCAAATTTAAGATGTTGAGTTCCTAATAAGGACATTGAATTTGGAAAGAGATTTTTAGCAAAAGAATGTGAGAATTAAATGAGAAAGATATGTGAGAATTAAATGAGAAAGATGATTGAGAATTATGCTGACTTGGTCTTTGAAGAATAAAGGTTTTGAGGCCCAATAAAAGAGCTTGAGAAACTTGAGTACCACAATCGAATGAAAATTAATTAGCTAGTATTTACATAGCATGCATTGAATTTCGCATGCATTGCATTTCACATAGCATATATTACATTTAGGAAAACATAGTGCATAAATTCAAAAAGCGAAGGTATTCTAAGATCTCATATAAAGAAGACAGATATGAAGACTTTCTGATGTAAAAGTTTCAAATTCGAGAAAAAGCTTATGAGGTAAGATTCTAATCCTTGAAAAAGGATATTTCTCTATATCAGGATCGATTTGTAAGACCTTTGGGCATGATCTCCTGAATTTCTTCAAACACTATCTTTGACTCCTTAAGACATGATTGTCAATGAGCATTTATTTTTTTTTTTCAAAGTTGTGGTGCCTCTGTTTAGAGGAGTAAATTATTTTTTCAAATTTGTGGTGCCTCTGTTTAGAGGAGTAATTTATTTTTTAAAAAAGTTATTGAGCCTCTGTTTAGAGGAGCCTTATTTATTTGTCCAAAGTCATTGAGCCTCTTATTAGAGGAGCTTTATTTTTCTTTCCAAAGTCGTTATGCCTTTGCTTAGAGAAGCTTTGTTTATTTTTCAAAGTCGTTGAGCCTCTGTTTAGAGGAGCCTTGTTAATTTTTCAAAAGTCGTTTAGCCTCTACTTAGATGAGCTTTATCTATTTTTCTAAAAGTTGTTGAGCCTCTGATTAGATGAGCTTTGATTAAGATTAAAAAAAAAAAAAACAACAAAAAGTGGTGAGTTGAGTCTTGAATGGGTGGGTGTCTACGTCTTTGCACAATTTTTGTTTCACAGAAAATGTGCAAATAGGAGCAGTTGTAGACACCCAATTTAGTTCAAGCCCGGATCAATTGGGCCTAGTCTAAATGGGCAAGATTAGCCCCTTTTTTTATCTTTTTATTATTATTTTGTTGTTATTTTATTTTATTTATTGTTTTTTCGTTTATTATTTATTTTTATTATGTACTATTATATTATTATTTATATTATTTATTATTATTATTTTGATTGATTTTATATTTTCTTGATTAATTAGGATATAATGATTAACTTAATTAAAAATAAAAAAAAAGTGATGGAAGTGGATTTGGACATGAATTTAGGGGCTAACAGAGTTGAAATTAGATGTAAAGTTTGAATCTCAATCCCAAATGGAATTGGGATTGATTAGAACTCCTCTGATTAATCCCTATAAATAGATGTTAAAACATACAGGAAGGAACATAGAAAGAAAAAAAGGAGAAAACAAAAGCAAGAAAATAGAGTTTAGCAATTTTAAGAATTTCAGAATTTTTTTAAAAAAATTTTGGCTGTATTTTTTTGAAATTTTTCTGGAAATTTACAGAATCCGATGAATTTTTTGACGAAAATTCAAGTTTTTTGGTGACCTCCGGTGAGAAAACCCAGTTTCCGGTGATATACCCAGAAATCGACGACTTTCTCGATGATATTCAACCAGAAATGACGATCGAAAATCATCTAGAGAGAGAAAAAAAAGAGAATAAAGAGAAAGCGTGAAGGAAAACATTTGAGGAAAGAAGAAATTTTTTCTTTTTATACGCAAGCTAAACGACGTCATTTTTCATCAAAGTTTAAACAAGATTCGCACGTTTTGCCAAGATCCAACCCGACTCGAGCGCCAGCTCATTTTTTACTCGGGTCTGACTTGAGTGCCAATCGACCTCTGGAGCCGAGCCGAGCTGCACACTCTTAAGCCACTTTTTCAAGTCGTTTTTCTTCCTGGAGCCGAGCCGATTTCAGCTGCTGAGCCAAGTCGCCTTAAGTTATTTATTTATTTATTATTATTATTTCTTCTAAATTAGAATTATTTGGTATTCCTTAATTATTTTTATTTTTATTTTATTTCATTTTATTTTTTTAATGATTTTCCTAAAATAAAATTTTCAAAAAATATATTTTTGAGAAAAAGTTGAAAGCATCAATTTTTCTTGAAAATAATTTTTTTAAAAAATATATTTTTAAGAAAAAGTTGAAAGTATCAATTTCCTTGAAAATAAAAAAGTTTAAAAATATTTTTGAGAAAAAGTTGAAAAGTATCAATTTTACTTAAAAATAAAGTTTCTAAAATAAAAATTTTCAAAAACATTTTGGGGGGAGAAAGTTGAAAGTATCAATTTCTCTGAAAATAAAAGTTTAAAAATAATATTTTTAAGAAAAAGTTGAAAGTATCAATTTTCTTACACAAAAGCAATAAGTTTTTTTAATGAAAAGAAAATGATTTATATCAAAGGGTGAATCATTATTTTTTTATTATTTTATTTTATTTTATTTTTTATTTTCTTTCTTTTTTGTAATTTTTTTTGTTAAATAATCTAACGATAGAGTCTCTGCAAGTGAAACAATAGTTTTTTGTATACTCTTAAGGTGAAGATATTTTTCTTAATTTTTTATTAAAAGTATTGGAGTTAATTAAGAATAATTTTTAATAATTAATTACTTGATAAAATTTTAAGGCTTATCGGATAACACGAAATTGAGCTGGTACCATCTTTCGATGGGCGTTGTGAGGTGTTATAACCTTCCTCACACGTAACCATACTCCTGAACCCTGTTCTAGTTTGTAGACCTGAACATATTCTTTTAGGGACCCTTTATTAAGCTTAGAAACTCCTTAAAGGGATAGATTCATAAGACGGCCAATCGTACCTACACAAAAAATATTGATGACGACTCCTTAAGTCAATGTCTAGCGATAAGTCATTGGATCTAGACATTATGATAGTATATATTTAAATAACTAATTAACTGAATTTAATTTATTTTTAATATTTGTTTTTGAGCCAATCAATATTAATTGCTTATAATTTATTTGCATGAATATGCTAATTTAGTGGAATTTGCATGACAAGTTAGGAAAGAATAAAAGGTAAATTAGGAGGTTAATTTTTCATAATTTTTTTTTTTTTTTTGTATTGAAGACTATACATTGTTATGATATTTGATTTCTGCCATTTTCAAAAATAAATCAAATTAAATAATAGGGAGCCTCTTAATTAGATGGGAACTCTTGGTGATTGCCGGAGAAGATGCTTGATGGGTGTAGAATGGAATAGCCTTGTTCATTGCTAGTCAGGCAACTTTATTCCTGGAATGTTATAGACATGATGGTCTAGATTGGACTCTTAAAATGATCCATAATATCTAGTATTATGGTGACTAGTCCCCTAATTAACATCGTATCATCCTCTGCATTTGCCTGAACTCCCATGGATATGGCAATTTGGATTACATTGAATTCGAGAAGTAATCTATTCCGTAGGCAAGCATTATTGCAGAAATTTTTGTTCCCGTAAGTAGTTCTTGGGAGGAGGATCAGGGAACAGCACAAAATTTACAATACTAGTTGAACAAGAAGAAATTAGATATTGGTTAGACTTGTGACCTTGCATTACAGTCCTCTTCTTCTTTTACTTGGGGATGCTTTAGCTGAGGATTAGTTTCTTCTGCCTCAGAGTTTCTGCCCCATAGCAGGGTATATAAACCAATTACAACTAGGATAGATCCAACGACGCTGTTCATAGCCAATAAAGGGATGTTAGAACTTAGAAGCCATATAAATATTTGAGAAGCAACGACTAATATTAGGAAAGAAGTATTACAGTACAACCTCCCAAAGTAGATTTGTCCGTGTAGAATGGAGAAATCAAACATGGCTACAAATATTTGCAGGAGTGGACTGAACGCAGATGTGAAGACAGGACCCTTTTGTTTGACACACCATGACATTCCCACATAGCACAAGCCTGCTGACACCATTCCCTATTTGGATAAATTCGAAACGATGGGATTATTAACCGTATTTAATCTATCTTTACAGACTAAGAATCAAACTTTGCAAAGAGTATACTTACAGTATATGTCACTGTTATTAATTCCAGTTTTTCTTTCAAAATCCATTTGGCAAAGTCCCTCTCTGTTATCAAACTTATTATGGCTAACTGAATTGCACTGAAGAAAGACAAAAAAGCAGTGCTGGAATATTGGCATGGATATGTCCTTCCAATACAGGCTTGCAGAAGGAGCCAGGATGACGAGAAGATGCAGCCTGCAGCAAGAAATATCGAACCAATGGCCCATCTCCCTTTCTTCTTACTTGAAATCATTATATTGCCATGGTTTATGATATGAGTTGTAGCAGAATTTGATCTGACCAATGTATTTCCTTTGTAAAGGGTCAATACCATAGCTCCACCGATGCAAACCAACGTACCAAGGACCTTTGCTCTCCCAGCCTTGTTTCTGATGTTCACTTTCTCTAGACTAAAAATGCATGATATCAAAGAGTTATGACTCAGTTTAAAAGTTACTGAGATGCACTTGGTGTTTAAGCCGTTACCCAAATGGTAGCGCCAACATAAAGGTGATTGCAGGAACCATATTTATGAATGCACATGAGAACGTTGCAGAAGTATATTTGAGTCCAAGAAGCAAAAAGTACGGTGTGAGTGTTGCCCTGGAGGACATTTGTTAAGGGTTCTTAGTAATTTATAAAGTCAGAAGAATAATCAACAGAAACGGAGCTATTAAGGATTTTACAACTAACCCTATAAGAGCATTGAGGAAAAGCTGGCATAAGATACGAGCTGTGAGCTTGGATCTACTTTTTCTGCAAGGAAGCTAATAAACTGTAGTAAGTGCCATGTCAAAAGTGCCAGAAACTTCCAGGATTCAATCTGGTGAACGAATTAGCTGAGTGCAAGCAACAAGTAGGCTATAGAACTTCATTGAAAGGGACATGTTAAATGCTAGAAGTGTTTACCTTTCCCAAAAGAAGGCAATTGGTGCCAAAAAAACAGCAGAAATTGACTGACGGTACATTAAGATGATTACATGGCTCACTCCTTCATCCAGAAGCTTTTTGACAAGTACATTGGTTATAGCAAACGCAAAGTTGATAGCTATCATTGCCAAAACAGGCTTCCATTGTCTGCAGCAGTTCATCTCGAGCAATATACCGGAAGCAATTAGAGAAATTGCCACTCCCTATCTCTGGTAAATTCTTGACCTTCAAAGCGCAGTTCAGCCTTACCAATTTGTCTGTACCATATATAATAGCCTCCTCCGAAATTGGAATATGATTTGTTTTTATATTCCCATCACGTCCATGCTTTAAGCAATCAACTTTGTCACATTTTCCATATTATTATTCCGTTTCTACGCTTTCTGAAGTATCTTTTTGAACAGTGAGATCACAGAACCACTGGGGAAAGTTCGTGCATCATCATTAATGAGTTTAGAGATTCACCACCAGCACCAAGTACGTGTTGTTTTACAAATTTTCACCACAATTAGAGCATAATCGATCTTCATGCCACAGAATCTTTCGAGTAGATGAGTCGTCATAAGCATCTGTGAAGGCGGTGACAGACAAGACCAAGCATCCATTTCTTCCGCGTGGCATCCAACTCCGAAGATAGAGATTGACCTGGTAATTACAGAAGGATTAGAGCTCAGATTTGAGAACAATATGTCAAGTCTCAGAAGAAAAAAGAAATAATATTAAACAAGTAATAGGATGCTTATTATTTTGTTCTGCTGCAAATGTGTGGACCCTGTATAAAGATTCCGAAGAATGTTGTCTTAATGCTGTCGTTGCCATTTGCCAATCCATTTTTGGAGTAAACCTCTTTATGCTTTTTCCATATTTGTTTTTTTGGGGCAATTCTGGATCACCGTGGAAATGGCCTCAGCCATTCAACGATTATTCTTTCTCTTTTTTCTATTTTGGTACAACGGATTATTAATTTACAATTTTGGGAACTCACACCTGATGTTTACCAAAATAAGCACAAAAATGGGATTTATCTATTAAAACAAAAAGAATCAAATTGGTATATTAATCCAAAGAATTTCATTTACAACAATACGTATAAGAAATAGTAGACAAGAGAAATACAGATCGAATCCAAGAAAGACACAAAATCTTTCTCCTTTGAATAATTAGAAAAGACCACACAATACAGAAAATCCGAGCAAGACCAGCCAGACAATGTGAACCAAAAGCAGCGCTTGACCAGGAAACGAAGCGCTACCTCCATTCCCAACCTCACAAAACCCTAATTTCGCCACGCGAGTACCAGCACATATGGCATCGGCGCAACCGCACCAGTAGGTGACGCCATCAACGCCGCAAACGGGCTCCGTTCGGAAGCAATTCACCGGACACGAAGCCGGCTTCGTGAATCGTGCGCAGACGCCTTCGTTTTCACCGGAGTTGGTAAATCCATCGGAAGGTAAACGGATGGATCCCAAATTATCCGGCACTGATTGCGCGATCCGTGCACAGAAACAGAAGAAGAGAAGGAGGACGGTTAAGATGTGGAGCGGAGTTGCCATGAACCGCCGCATATGGGCTGCAATTGAAAGGATTTCCTGCAATGATTTTTCGAACCCTAACTCCCAATTTCGATAAATATAATAATGTAATGATGTAAAGAGGTTTGAGGGAGTCGTTCAACCAACGTCCACCTGACTTTTTCCTTTCTTTTCTTTTCTTTTTTTAAATTTATTTTCTTCGCTTTTTCTTGTTAAATGTTTTTTGAAATGATACTCTACGCCCAAACCCATTTTAACTAGGCCTACATCTACACAGTTTAATCAATAATTTATGAGGTAAAAATTTTTAATTAAGCATCAATAAAACTTATTAAAATTATTTTTTATTTGTACAAATTTGATTTTGTTTTGTAAGCTACACAAATCCGTCATTTTTGCATTTTTAAACTTGTAGTTTATAATTTTATTTTGATAATTTTTAAATGAAATATTTTACAAAATGTCACCTAAAGATTTATAACTCTTCCACATCTTTACAATAATAATAATAATAAAATGAACACTGGAACAAAATTAAGTTTAAAGCAGAGATCAAAAAGCATTTGGGTTAACATATATATATCACTTGCATGTATGCACCCTATTACTTGGAGAGGATAAGTAAAGCATAAGAGAGAGAGAAAGAGACAGGCAAGAGGAACTAAATAGAATCATTGGTTCATTGTTGTGAGAAACATAACTTTTTTAGGACCCAGAAGAAAACTGAAGTAAATTACAGGTTAATAGGAATCGAGATATCGGATACTTCAACTCCTTCAGATTTATTTCACAAGCACAGACAAGTTCAATTCCAAAAGACTGTCCATGAACATGAATAATTTGACCACCTCTGTTGCTTATTAGGATATAAAAATGAAATGACATCTTCATTCTACAACATGTAAGTCAATGACTTATCTCAACATTCGATGACCTACCCTCAACTTTTGCCTATATGGTCAAATATTATAGAATAACATGAATAACTTTTCCCTCTGAACACACAGCGAAAAAAGGCAACGGTAGCCATAGCAAGTTTGGATCATTGTCCTATTTAGTTGGCTAATTTCTACATGCAGTCATAATAGATTTAAAACCCTCCATGTAGATGTTCCCATATAGCTGACTGCCTTTATATTTAGGGCAAGATCAATCCATTAAAGTTACTTGACTTTACCAGCAGAATTCTAGCTCCAGAGGACCTGGCCATCAATGGCAGTGAGACGTTGATCATCAAGGCGCTTCCATGTCTTGATTGACTTGACAGCCCCCCCCCCCCCCCCCCCCCCCCAACCCTCCATTCTCTGTCTTCTCTAAAGATGCTACCACCACTCTGGCGCTCCTGGACCATCAAGCTTTCTCATATGCATGGTATCCAAAGCCACAGCATAACACAGTTGTATACCAGTCAATTGACCACAGAAGTCGTTGAGGTGATCATGACCTGTAAAAACAGCCTTCACATCCCCTGTTTCTACTATGGTTGTGAAGAAGCCCGAGTTCACAGAAGCAGAACTAATGCCTTCTTGTCTCACCCTTGTGAATTTAGATGAGTCAAAACTAGCAAATTCAGGCAGCAGGATGTGAAGATACACAAGTCCAGGGGCAGATGATTTCTGAGCCTTTGGTGGGCTCATGTAGACTCTCTGGATACAAACAAAATGATTTATTAGATACAAAGATGGCATCCAATCAGCCGATTGACAAAGACTTAAGCCTTGAGGCCACAGGTCAAAGATCAAATTCAGACAAACATGCTTGCTATTTACTAAAGAAATAACCTTCAAATATTGTACAGTTATAGTCTAAAGGAGGTTCATACCCGAAGTTTTGCAGAAGTGCGTTGAAACCACAACTGCATAGAGGGTTTAATCCAACCATAGCCAGGGATAGCTGGAACTGTAGAGTAATCTCCTCTGACAAGGAAGTAGAGGTTGAGAACTGATTGGTTTGCAAAACCAGACCCTTCAACTCCACCAACCTCCAGGTTTTAGTTGCCAAAACCATCAATAATATGTGCTTCAGAAGGATTGAATTGAGACAGAGTATGCTTCAATCCAACTATGTGTTTCATAAACCCTTCCCTTGATAAGGTTCCTTCCTAGTCATGGTTGCCCAAAACAGCAGCCCATGGAATTGTTGCAGCAATTGCAGGGGCAAATGCTGCATTCAATGATTTGGCTGAATCCTTGGCATCAAATCCAAAGATGTTATCCCCTAACATACACGCAAAACAGTTGCATAGAGTGAACTTGGATATCACAATTCACAATAAACATACTAGGAAAAGATTGCTATACCGTTATTATGCTATGCTATTAAAAGATGGCAAAGAGAATAGAACTCGGGGTTTTGGCCAATATTTCCCCTAAAAACTACTTCCCTATAGTGTTAGAAGTGTGTAAGGGTTCTATTAACTGATTAGTCAATGATTAAACATTCTCATTTTTAGAGGATACCGCTCCAACAACTTCATTTTTGAGAAAGAGGGTAGGCCATCTTGAGTTCAGCCCGTAAAATATACCCGACGAGACAGTAACTAGCCATTCACGGGCGTGTGAACCTGTGAGAAGAAATATTTATTTACAAACCCTTCTTTATTATAATTTGTAGGTGTAAACAAAATTAGATATTTATTTACAAACTATTAAATCTTCGTTTACTGATTTTAAGTTTCAATAAAATTTATTAATTAGATAAGAAACAGTCTTACCAAAAACAAAAAAAAAAAACAAAAGATTTGTGAGGGGACTATTGTGAATCAGTCACTGCATGGTTTAAGAAAACAAAACCAAGAGAAACGGATGAAAATACATGAAGTGAAGAACAAATGAACATTCGCTGCAAATACGCTAATCCTAGAAATAACTCAACAATATCCCATCCGACCAGCCACTACTAGCAGTATCTGCCTAAGCATACGCATACCAAACAACCAAAATGAACTTGACTTCAGGACCAAACCACGTGGCTCTCATAAATGTCCTTTGCCAGTTGCAATATCCCTTTTTATTGCTCCACGAATCCATTTGATAACATTCCACTGGAACAACAAAAAAAAGACAGGCATTAGAAAAATGCTATTCATTTATATTCCAATTCAGCCCAAACAGAAACCAATAAACTGTGGAAACTTTACCTGAAGCATAAGAATAACAGGAATCAAGATTTTTCCCTTATCATTTGCATCAGACCCGTCTACCAACTTCTTGCTAACCACAATAGCTTTACTCTTATTTGTTGCAACACTTGTGATGGCTTTTACTAGGTTCGGAATCCAAGCATCACCATTGGGAAGAATCTGCATTGAAACAAAACATGTATTTATCAAAGAAGCAAGGAACTTAAATGCATGAAGGTTAATAAATTGAAAGCACAAGACAAAACCAAAAAAAAGAGATCAAACCTTTTCGCCATTGTCATTTTTATTGCACCTCCCACTGTTTTCAACCAAAACAACAGGAATGACAGAATCCTATAAAGCACCAAAAGCAAGGAAATATCTGAAAATGTAATCACAACACTCTAAGCAAATCATCAGAAAAGAAATAGTAATTAATTAAAATAAATTTAAGAGCTAACATATCCTTCTCAGACAAAGCAGTCCAGTTATAAACCACCTGTTATTTTTTTTTCTTTCTTTCCCCTGAAACTTTCCCCACTCTTTGAAACATGAATCTTAGTAGGCGGCATTCATTAACATCAAGTGAAAGCTCAGATCATCCTCATTTTTAGAAGTGACTTTCAAAGCTATAATTAAATGACAAAGAACATGCACAGCAGTACAGTAAGCAATGTTAATATGATGGATAAGCTTACTTATCTCTTCACGTCAACCTGTCCAACACCTTCCCCGTGGATCAAACAGATAAATTTGAAAGAAAATATATGCCTTAAAATCTTTTTCCACCCAATTTAAATTCACTCAAATTATTTTGAATAGTGATAAATGAGGTCAATCAAGCAGCCATGTGACATGCAATAGAATCCTACACTATTTGTATAATTAAATGAGGGTAGCTGATTAGCACCAAAGATCTAGAATGTATAAAACCACTTAAAATAAGATCTCTTACATTTGGAAGCCACATGCGAAAGAAGATTAGGACAGAATCAGCTAAAGAGGTGAAGGTTTGTTGTAAGTAATTTGTTTCTACAGGAAGTGTCAACAATTAGAAGCTGAACGAATTGTTAGCATCAGAATTCAAAAGACCTTGACCACTTCTATATTTATTTGCATTTTTGGGCATTTTAAAGGAGCATAACTACCAAGTACTAATTACTTCAGCAAATTACAAGTACCAAGGAACATAACTACCGAGCTCTAGGAGTGGGAAACCACCCACAGCTCTTCTGCTCTCTCATAACTACCAAGTACCAATTGCTCATCCAGTGTGTGGAACCATTCAACTCTCTACTCCAGCAAATTACAAGTGAGTGAAAAAGATTATGTTAGCACAACATGCAATTTTTTTGAGAATAAATAAGCTTCTCTCTTCATGGTAACCTGTTCAAAACCTTTATTTAGGCAATCCAACATGTCTCCAACTTAAATAAACTTGAAAGAGAATACATACCTCAAAATCCCTTTTCCTAATCTTAGCTCCCATATGAAGGGCCTTTAGCACACCCTCTGATCTTTTAGAGGAAAAAACATCATAATTCAGTCCATCTGGTGGACAAAGCTGTGCATGAGTGAGCACAAGCAAACTTTTGCGCCATATTTCTTTGCCAAAACTGTTGGTGATAGCCCTAATAATCTGCTTATCCAAGTCATCCACTCTATATGCATCCAGGCGGTCAACGTAAAGTAAAACATCTATGGTCTTATTCAAAAGAAACCTGCATGATAATTACAAGATTTTGTTTTTAACCAAAATAAACCATATCATGTGGTAAAACTAATTCTAAAAAGAAACTATTACTCGCATTTATTGAGAATTACTTAATTAAACTAAATTCATAAATAAACAAATAAGATTCTAACTTTAACTGCTCAATTCAAGTACTGACCCTTTGATCAACTCAAGAGCTTGGTGATTGACATATCCAGCCTCCACGAGTCCAGGTGTATCAATTACATTCAATGTGAACCCTGCCCAGGACCGTGAAACCATCACGGGTCTCAGCCCCTCTGACTGCAAAACAAGCAAATACCATGACAATTCATGCTTATGAAATCTAAAACAGCATAAAATAATCAACCCAAGAATGCAAAGGAACAGACAAAAGCAATACACACTTGGAAAGCAGTGACTCGAACAACTTGTTCTCCAATGAGAGAATTGATAGTGGAAGACTTTCCTACACCGCCTTTGCCCATAACAAGGATAGTCAAAGTGTTGACATTCTGCAATTTTAATCTTTAGTAAATATGTTGCTAAGTCAAAGTAAATGAAAGGGATTAAAGGGTTTACAAAAACCTCTTGCTTCAAGTTGCCCAGCAACTCGAACAATTTTGTTTGTGTGGCGGCGGGGAATTGTTGAAGACCGAGCCATTCACGAGGCTGAGGGGTACCCATTGAAGCAAACTGCATAAAATTCAGAAAACCCAAATAAAAAAACCTGCAAAGAAGAAATAAACCCTAAACCCTTAAAGTGGATGATAACATGCTGAAATGCTTGACCCATCTTGGAATGCAGCTAAAAGAAAGAGATGGGTCCGTTCTCTTTTGACAGAGTGAAAAAACAAGAGAGAATTGAAAAAGAAATCTAGGTTTTACCGGCCTATCTTGAGAGGTGCAACTTGAGAAAGGAAGAGAGAAAGATAGAGAAGAAAAGAAAGAATTTGCGGCGGTTTTTGTACTGGGAAAGTGCAGGAAACAAAAGGGAGAGGCGATGAGGGATTGGGTTTGGCCGTTTGGGAAGGTTATCTAATCGTATTTGGGGATTAGTGTTTGTTTTTTCCACCAGCAGGATAAATATATAACCCGCCCGCGTCCACTATGCTGCTTGCCCAATCGACCCATAACAAGTGGGCTCAATACAGAGTTTAAGTGGGCTTTCCAGCCCTCATCTATAACAAAAGCTCAAAAGTATAAGCAGCATATCCGGGTCGGCCCATTTAGATTACCCTCCAAACCTCGCACATGATGACAAAATAGAGTAGAGAGTATTACCGAAACCGGGTTGGCTTCGAATTACAGAGCAGGTGAATCCGAAAACCCAAAATCTCTGGGAAAAAGAAAACGATGTCGGCTAGATTGATGAAGAAAGTCTTGAAAGAACAAGAACAGCAAAAACAACGAATTATTGAAGAAGAAGAAGAGGAGGAGGAGGATCAGCTAAACGGCAACGAATCGGAGTCGCCGGATTCCGGACCTCGTTCTTCAAAGAATCCGTTCGACCTCCTCAACCAAGGTGACGACGGGGACGAGGATAACGTTGACCAGGTTTAGTTCCTTAACTCTATCCTGTATAAAGAATCCTTTTTTTACGATTAATTGTTCATCGCCTTCAGCTAGGATTTGCCGTTTAATTTGATCATATTTTTCTTTGGAATTAACTTCCAATTTTAATTTATTATTGTACCAAATATCTAAGTCTTTATAACTGGGATAGTTCAAGCTCCAAACTGATGCTTTCTTGGCTTTACTTCTGTTAAAATGCTACAAACGTATTCTTGATTACAAAAATTTAGATGGAAATAATAATCTTTCTTGTGCTAGTTCCATTGTATTGATCAAATGATGCCCCATTGGAGAGTAATATTGGATGTTGTATGACTTTCAATGACTTACTATAGGTTTTGGTTGCAGGTAGATGCACCTGAAGTTGCTGATGAAACCTTGATCAGAAAACGAGAAACGCCTTCCTTGAAAAGCACTGCCAATGCAATTTGAACATCTAATAGCATATCAAAGAAACAGAAGAAAAAGAAAAGGAAAGAGGGTTGTTCAAGCACGGATAAAATTAAACACCTTTGGATGTGAGTTTAGATACTTTATCTTTGGATTTTAATTCTTCTAGTCATCAGTCAGGTCGTAATAAACCCATATTAGAAAATGATAAAATTTGTGAGGATTTAGTTAAACAGTCTACACAGTCTATATTACAAGTGGATCCTAAGTATCTGAATGTTGAGAATGAGCTGCGGAGAATATTTGGTTCTAAGGTGATTAAATCATTTGAGAAAAGCAATCAAAGCAGCAGTTCCAGACAGGTGCATGGTAGAAGACAGGGAAACCATCACATTAGGAAGACTATTTTGATATCTCCATCAGATCATTGGCCTCACTGGGATGGATCTCTGTCAATGGAATTTCTGGAAACTAAGAATGGGTACCATTTCTTCAGGTAAAGATCTTTCCAAGTCTCTCTGTTATTGCTAAAACTTGCTTAACTGTTGATTACCATTCTGAATGGTCCCATTTTTTATGTTCACCCACTTTGAGTGTATGTTACCAACTTGAGAAATAGTAGTAGATAACTTTTGACGCATATGACGCAGGAATCTGTTTCTTTCCCATGGTTTCCTGAGTTTGAGTGAAATTTTTACATGCTTTTACAACATTTGCGTGAGTATAGATGCAAAAAGAATTAAACCTAGGTGGTGCTTTGGTGAGCATTTTTACTGTCATTGGAAGGTATGCCTAGCTTTGTTGATCTAGACATAATAGGGATTCCAAAAGTATCACATAAAGTGCATTTCCTATCTCTCGCAACTTAGTTCATGTGAATGGCAATTGTTTTCATTGTATTTGGCTAAAATCAGCTGCATATTTTTTTGGTTTTACTGTGTCCTAACTTTGTGGGTTTGTTCATGTATTGTAGATATGCACACTCGTCTTCCTAGGACGAAGCTCAGAGAGCATTTAAAGTTGCTTAAGCTATTCATGATCTGAATAGTGTAGCAAGTGTTATGTTGTATCATCCTTATCATTTAGATTCACTTATAACCATGGCAGATTTTTAAATTTGTGGGTGAGCATCAGATGTCTGCAGATGCTATTGCAAAGTGTTTACATGCCTTGCAATGTGTATGGCATCCTATGTTCACTCCCGTACAGGAAAATTGCCAATTGAAGTTCAGTCATGACTCAAACAAGCCATTATTCAAAGCACTTTTCAGTCACATGAAAAACATGGATAGGTGATGCTGTAATCGATCTGATCTAGAAGTTTGTAAATTGTTGCTTGCATTTGATTCAGATGACCCAATGGGAGCTATGTTCTGCCTTGACTACTTTGCTTTGAGGGCAGGGGAGTGTGCATGGTTGGAACAGTTTGCTGAAGTCTATAGAAGTGATACCTCCTTATGGCTGTTCCCCAATTTTACATACTCCCTCGCTGTTTGCTGGTTTTATCTTGAGCAAGAGGATTCTTCCCATAATACTTGTTTGGACGCCACAAAGGTTTCTTCAGCTGATCTTATGAATCAGGCTTTGATGCTCCATCCATCAGTCCTTAAGAAAATAGTGGCCAAGGTCCCTTTAAAAGATCAGGCATGGACAAATATACTAAAAAATTCTTTCTTCCATTCAGATCAAATAGGGATCCCATCTTTGGATCACCTGATTAATATTTATGTAGAAAGAAATCATCTCATATGGAGGCTTCCTGGTCTGCAAAAGTTACTTCGCAATGGTGCCGTGCCCTCCTTGTAATTGAAACACTGGAACATAATAAAAGTGATGCTAAAGATTGGGCTTGTGTGAGAAAAGAAGAATTCTCATCTGACAAAAATGAGTGAGTATCAGGATTTAATTGTGTTGTTGCTTTTTTTTGTTATTACTAGATTTCCTTTGTCTTTGATTTTTGACTGCAACACTCATGTTTGTTACATTTTTAAGCCCTAAATTCTTCTATTAGATTAGTTGAACATAAAGGTGTGTTAAATTAGTGTTGAGGCTGAATATAGATAAAGCTGGTTGTAAATGATTGGGATTTGCTAGCTTAATTAGATTAGTTGAGCTTATTGATACATGGTAGTTTGTGTGACAATCTTTTCACCCTGTGGTCAGGTATGGTCATTTGTTGGTTCAGGACTTCTGACACGGTGCAAACTCTTCCTCCTGATAATCTGCAAAACTTTACGGTTGACAGGAGGGGAGCTGCTGAGATTGGGGATCAGGTTGCCAATCCACCTTCTGGTGGTTATGCTCCAGCACCACGTGATGTTGCTAATGGCAATCCATTGGCTGTCTTGTTTGAATCGCTGCTACCATGGGTTAATTATGGACCTGCGGGAGACGGCTTAGTTGACGAAAACCAAGTTAATGAGCAAGGTCAAGACAATGAAGATCACTGACTTGTAATGTGTTAACGGTTGACACAGCTTTTAGGCAAAATAGTCCAGTTTTCAACATCTCTGACACACAATATATCAGTTTCATGTGTAGAAGTAAAGTTCTTTTGCTGCTCAAGAGGGAAGAGCTTCCTGCAAGTACAAAGATTTTTGCGGGGATTCAAAGCCAACTCTGTTGTCAATTTTATGAACATTTTTGGAGCATCCTCTAAAAACTGAATTAAGTTCATTGCTTTTACTTGGAATATAAAGGTAGGAGTCCAGCCATGTTGGAGAAAATTTGTTTATCATAGTTTTAGGATGCAAAAGCATTCTGAAATTGTTAATATTATCCACCACTGGTTATGAGCTTGCCATTCGGTGGATCCATTTCTTTATACATGCAAGATTTTTGTGGGGAATCAAAGCCAACTCTGTCAGATAGACTTGCTAAGTTCTTGGAGCCATCTTTCACTGATTCAGGGGGAGGAGTCCAGAAGCAGTGTCCGGCTGTCACCGTCAAAATCCTCTGCCGAATTACTGGCATGGCTCGGGTCGGGTTATCTCCGGCGGGTTATTTATAAAAAATGGCAAAAAAAGTTAAAATACCAAAAAACGTTTAAATTATTCTATTTTTCTTAAATAAATTTTATTTTATTATATTCAAATAATTTTTTATTTTTTATTTATATTTAGATATTTTAAATAAAATATTAATTTATGTTAATGATTTATTTAAGTATAAATTAAAAATTAATAACCTATTTTGATATAAATTAAAATTTTATTTAAATGTCAATAAAAATAAAATGTTTATTTAACTGCAACAAAAATGCAAAAGTTTATAAATTCAAAGGCTTTTTAATTATTTTAATAAAAAATTAAAACCCATCCGTGGGTCCCGCCGGCGGCGCAAAACGATCGAAAATAGAGGGAAATGGATAACGGAAGTGGCACTAAGCTATAACGAAGCAACAGTTAAGGCTGTGAACAAAAATCGAACCCAAATTTCTGTCCTTTCTTTATAACTTGATCCAATTTCTTGCGTTATTAACTGTTGGAAAAAAAAATCATAATACCCATTGTTACCCAATCTCTGAAACATTATGGAATTGGCATTTGCTGCTTCAGTGTACCCTGCAAATGGGACGAGAGCCATCCACGAGATAAAACCTCTCAGCCCAAAACTCGTTAGCGCCAAGAAACGGTCTTTTCATAACAGGTTCCTATGTTCAGTTGTTGTTGCTCCTGACGGGAATCGGGTTCGCATTCTTTCGTCCCTTTCCCTTTTTAGAACATTTATTTTTTTGGGGTTTGGGTGGTGTTGGGATTTGCTTTTTTTTTTGGGTTTCAGGTGTCTGAGGTTGAGTTAGAGAACAGGAAACATGATCTTCTCTTGGCTGTTCAAGACACACAACGGGGACTTGTTGCGACTGCTGATCAACGCTCTGTTATTGAGGAGGCTCTGGTATGGTCTGCTCCCCCACAGTTGGAAATAAGAGCTTAAATTCTCAAGTAAACACGATTTTTTTCTTAATTTTATAGTATTTTCTTCTTTGTGTTGTGAATTTTTGTAGGTCTGCGTGGAGGGATACAACAGGGGTGCACCAATTGACCTGGTGATGTTGGATGGAACATGGCGCCTGCAATACACGTCTGCCCCGGATGTTCTCATTCTGCTGGAAGCTGCTGCAAGACTTCCTTTTTTTCAGGTGCCAAATCTGAAATCCTGTCATAGAATTCCTTTGCCCTTGCTTATAGAATGCATTAGATGTTTAGATTTTGTTCCAATCTAATTTTAATTAGGAAGCTTTTCATGTTTTAGGGTCAGCTCTAGTTCTCAACGGTTACAACGTTTGTGTTACTTTTGTTTGTCAATATCAATTGCTAAAGAGACTTGTTTTGATATCTTGCTTTCATATTGGGGTAGGTTGGGCAGATCTTCCAGAAATTTGAATGCCGGAATCAGTACAGTGGAGGTGTCATCCGAAATGTTGTACGGTGGAGTATTCCAAATTTGTTAGAGGTAAACTTCTTTCCATCTCTCCACCGGTGTTATCTTGAATGTTAATGTACTTGGATAAACGATAAATCCTCAAGCAGTTTGTTCCAATATGCTTTTAATTTTATAATCAAAGTTGGTGTGTGCAACTTTTTTTTGCTTCAGCTATACTAGCTTCCATTATGTCAACCCCAAGAATATATTTAACTGATTATTCTTGAGAAAATATAGTACAATCTAATTTTGTCTTTGTTTTGCTTTACAGGAACAAGAAGGTGCCACACTGGTTGTTTCTGCTAAGTTTGAGGTTGTGTCTGTGCGGAACATCTATCTTCTGTTTGAAGAGGTTAGCTAACCTTTCCTCCTTTAAAAATATTACTTCCATAAAAGGTTAAGGTTTCTCACCTGCAACTATTTCTCACTACCGTTCAATCTCGGACATTAATCAAACACTGGAGGAATATGCATGGTAGCAATTTATGGCCATATAAGGTCGATTTATTGGTGAGGTGTTCCCAGGTTTGCATTAGCTAAAAACAGTTTTGCTCGAGATTTTTGAAATATGTTTGTCTCTACGTTTTCTATTGTCTCATACTAGAATTACATGACCTTAAATTTGCTTAGTTAGTATTTAAAGGAATACTCAGGTGATCCTAAGTGCATAACTGTCTTCTTGTGAGACAAGTTTATACGCATAAGTTCATCTATGATTGAGTCTTTTCCTTCATTTCCGTGCCCTTTATATAGAGCTGTAGTTTATACCCTTATATCTGCAAAGAAAGTGCTCAAATTTTTCTTGGTAAGTGGGCCTTTTGATTACTGTTTCCTGATCATGCTTAGAGATATTTCTAGATTTACTAGTGGAAGTTAAAAGTGGATATACATTTCTTTCAAATGATCTCAGGTCTGCAAGTTGTATTTGGCAGATAAAAATTCAAGATATAAACATCAGTGAACAGCTGCAAGCACTGATTGCTCCTGCACTCCTACCAAGGTCATTTTTAAGTCTACAGGTGCCTAATTATTTCCCGAATTTCTTGTTGGCAAATTGGCATTGTTTGATTTTGCCTTCTCCCACTCTGCATAGTTGTCCTTGTGAAATTTGGAATCCTACATATAGCTATATCCACTAATTTAGGTTTATGGAAGACCTTCTTCGATCTTCAACTAGTAACTGATTCTCATCAGTGAGACTTCTCATCTGTTCATCATCATATTATCTAATCTCTAAGAAATATTCTTGAAGTTCAGCTGGTTGGCTCAGCAAATTCAAGCCATTAGGTTGTCTAGCAATCTAGTACGATTGTGCTTTTCTACATGTGGTTACAGTTTGTTGTATGCTAGTGTTTGTTTTTGAGAAGTCCATGTTTATGTGCAGATTTTGCAGTTTCTTCGAACATTCAGCGCTCAAGTTCCCATAAGAAACCCAGGGACTGCGAGGTATATCATGAACTTGTGTATTATCATAGCTCTTAAACGTGCTCTCACTATGGCGATATGAATGGTGAAACATATCTGAGTGCAGGAGATCAGTTGGAGGGCTTTATTACCTTTCATATCTGGATAAAAATATGCTCCTGGGAAGAGCCGTTGGAGGTGGAGGAATATTTGTGTTTACCAAGGCTCAACCCCTTGAGCTATAAGGAACTATTTTAATCAATAGCTTAATCGGCAGAACCTCCATAGTGGCAAGTCGATAAATTGGAAGTCAGGAAACAATCAAACAAAGTTCTCATTACTCATGAAATACTAAGCATGGAAGCATAAGTGCAACCTGCTATGCCTTCTCCCTGCTGCCTAATAGTGTTCTTTTTGTATTTTAATGTATAGAGCACATGGTAATGGCAGCACATTATTTTTCTTTTGAAAAAAAAATGCCCCTTCGTGCTGCCAGCCAAATAGGAAGGTGACGATCTGATAGTTGTTCCACCTTCAGCAAATTTTCAGGATTTTGCTCATTATTAAAATATGTATGTTGAAAGAGAGAGAATTCCTCGAGCCAAAGCTTCAATCTCCTAAACAATTCTCATAAATCTCACTTAATTCATCTAAAATTCGAACTCTTATACCTAATCACACTAATTATTGCATGAAAAAAATCTCACCATTCCACCTCACTTGCCAATTATGTAAGTATATTTCTTAATATTATTATTAGATGCCCATTAATCTATTTGTTGTTCTCCATTTTTATGAGTTTATGTTAGTACTCGCATCATAGGAAAGCGGCTGCAGTTTTCAGGTTACGGTGGAGTCACGCGGGAGTTGGACGTTCAACAGTACAAAAATTCAATGCCAAAATAAACGAAAAAAACAAAAAGGAAACTGTGAGAGAAAGAAGAAGGAGAGGAAGGAACAACACAATCTGCAAGTTGAAAAGGTTAAAACGAAAGGAAAGTAAATATAAAAAGAGAAAAAGGAAAGGAAAAAAAAACAATAAAATTCCATTGACAGATTTGTGGTTCGCCATTTTCTCTGGAAATGCAACAAAAGGTAAAGAAACAAAGAAACCCACTCTTCTATCCCTAGATTCACGCACTCCTTTACTGTTCCCTTAATTTTCTTTCGCTCCATTACTGTTCTCATAACAAACTATTCTTAATTCTCTTGGGATTGCTTCATCCTTTGATCATCTTTTTTTTTTTTTTTGCTTTTCCTTACCTCCAAATTCCCAGTGATCAGTGAGTCTTTCCCTTTTCTTCTTGCTAATCTTAGGTGTTGCTTTGATCTGTGTGAATTGCTTGTGTACTTGATAGTTGATAGCTTGAAACTTCATTCAAACTTTACTGAAGTTAACAACTGCTTAATCTTATTATATCTTGTACTAGTTGATTGGTTTTCTCTTGATGAAGAATTTGTGATCTTTTATGTTAAAAACTTGTTTATTGCCTTCCTATGCATTTTTTTTTTTAACTGAAATGAACAGTCTATTAGCAATGTATTTTGCCTTCGGTTATTGTTGCGAAATTTTATGTTCATGCTGGTTTTAAACTAAAGGGAAGTTAATGTTCTTGTTCTACTACATTTTTTTTTGCCAATTTTGGTGGCTAAAAATCTGTGTGCTTTGCAGGTACATTACGTTTGGCAATCAAGTTTTTGCTTGATTGTTTGGCATCTCCATGTAACTAGATTGTAGAGCTGAACGTCTTTCTGGTTTCAATGGGCGTACAGAAGATTTGTCATTGGAAATCAGGGGTTAGTATTTGCCATGGTCAGATTCCTGGCTTATTAAAAGGTCAGGGCAAGGGAAAGGAAGATAACCCTGTCTATGGGCCAGACTCAGGTAATGATCTTGATGACTGTGACTTCCAGGGAATTAGCTGTGAGCTTGGCATGGTGGAAGGTCAGATTTGCAGCATACCGTATGAACTTTTTGATCTACCAGGTTTGAGGGAGATATTATCGTTGGACACATGGAACTCATGCTTGACGGAGGAAGAAAGGTTCTCTTTATCAGCCTACCTTCCTGATATGGACGAATGGACTTTTTGGTTAACTATGAAAGAGCTCTTCACAGGTAGTGATATGTATTTTGGGAATCCCATGGATACATTTTTCAAAAGATTGAAGGGTGGATTTTATTCTCCAAAGATTACTTGTCTTAGAGAATCCTTGCAGTTTCTTGAGAGAAGAAGATATTACCATGCATTAAGATCCTATCATGACAAAATGGCACAAATGTTAATAGAAATGAGAAGGTTGTGGGATGAATGTGATACGAGTGCTGGTGTTGAAGAAAGACTTTACATGTGGAGAACGAGGAAATGCGAGGATGCCAATTTGCTTGACCTTAATGCAGTTCCTCATGATGGATATCTGTTAAATGAGGATCTTAACTCAGATGCAGTCATGCGTCATTTACCAAAGAGAATGAAGTCTTGGGAAAGTGTTAGAGCAAAAAACATTGTTGCTAGTCCATCTGCCAATGGAATGAACATTATTGCCCCCAACTGCAGCACAAAGGGTGTTCTGAATGTTAAGACTTCTGGCAATGCGATTCACAATCACAATCAAAAGATGGTTGTAGGTGACATAACGGAACAACGTCGATCAGTACCAAAGGGCCTGCTGAAAGTAGTTCCCAAAGTTCCTTCTGTCCTACCACTAGTATCAAAAGTGTTCTCAAGAAGGTCACAAACAGCATTGCTTGTTGGTGCCCAAGATTTACAGGACCATAGAGTATCTTATTCGCAAGCATCTACACACTTGGGAAATGCAGGTGATTTTAGTGGGTCACCGTTTCTATGGCAGAAGGTTGCTGGTAGCAAAATGAACCATGAGCAATCTCAGTGTATGTTAAATCGTCAAGATAGCGCTTTAAGAAACAGTAGATATTTACATAACTCCAGTGAAAATGTAAGGAAGGAAGTTGACATTGCCGATTTAGATAAACATAAATTGTTTGAACAAGATGAGGAAAGCTTCATTGATTCAAAGAGATTCAAATTTGGTGGTCATAATTTGTGGCAGAACTTTGCCATGGGAAAGAAAGGATTTTTTGAGAGATCCTTGGAATCATACCCATTTTCTGACCAATACCATGAAGGAGAGAGGCAGACCAGAATCTTGCAAAAAGAGTGCATCACCATTCTTCCAACAGTTCCTGAAGCAGTCTTAAGAGATTCGGGAATTAGGGGTGGCATGCAGGAAAAGTTAATGGCTTTTCCCAACCAAATGAAGAGCCCAAGTGATTTTACTGTTGAAAATTCAGAGAAGCCAAGTAAACCCAGTGTTTCAGAGAGGCTCAAGTATGATCTCGCCCTTCCTTTGACATACAAGCGAAGAAGGCCTCAAGCCAAAAACTCATCAGGCGTCACCAACTCACTAATAACAGGTACTAATTTAAGATCTGGTAGTCCTAAAGAATCAAATCAACCTTTGGGGGAGAGTGTGAAGGCATTGAAGATAAAATTCATGGGTTGGGAAAATACTCCTTTGAACGGGGAATCTTGAACGGTATGTCAAGGACAAAAGTTTAGTTAGCTCCTTCATAGTATAAAAGCCTGCCACATATTGTGGTGAAATCACTCCTCTGTTATAGGCTTCGTCTATCTGCATAAAATCAGTATATATTGCAGAAAGAAAGTTCTTATTATCAAGTCAGAATGTTATCAACTTTTCTCCGTATTGTCAATCAAGTAAGAGTACTATAATCTGCTGACTTCCTTTGCATTTCCATTATCCACTGGTACGCACCATAGATTAAATGGTTAAGTTTTTTTTATAACCTTAGAAAAAAAAAGGTAAGGAATTGGTGACTTTGCCGTATTGGGATGAAAGGTTTTAGGATCAAATTCCATCCATATCATCAGGGTAAAAGTTGAACAATCAACAAATTCAATATTTCATTCCGACATGATCTTGATTTCATTCATCTTTATGTTTGATTATTAGATCATCCTGATAGTCAATTTAAGATATTTTATTTATGCTTTTGCATTGCAATGGCTATCATTTAAACCACACACCAGCTAACTATTACTCTAACAGGGTAATCCATGGCTTATTTTATATCTTCATCAATCAACCTAGTTATAAAAGCAAAGTCGTTGTTTGTCAATGGCTTCTTGATCGGGTTGTAGTCAATTACCTGCGCTAGATAATAATCGGATCGGCAACTTGGAAGTTGGCATGTCAAAACAATGGTAGAAAGTTGAACAAGGAAAAGCAAAGGGGCATCTGAGAAAGATTAACAAGTCTAGTCTTATCTTTTTTTAACTTATACTGCTTTACATTCTCAGCAATATTACTGGCCTTTTTCGACACATTCTATTCCGGTTAGACTTAAGTCATTGTTTGGAAATTCCAACAACCGACAAATTGACTTTTACAAAGCGTAAACTCTGGTGGAGAATCCAACAGGAAAAGCTTAAGTTAAGCATCTTTTAAAATGGGTACACCGATGCTACCCCAACCTCAACCTCCATCTTCCTCTTCCAACGATCAATTTAACTTGGCTTCTCACAACATTAATCATTACCTCGCCATTTCACCAGTTCAATCATTTGGATGGTAGCCATTGTTAGTATTTCTTTTCAGCAACCACATTGTTTCGTTTGTACTCAAAATTCATTTTTCAATTCAATCTTATCTCTTTAGCCATTCATCTTTATTCAAGGTCAGCATGTGATGGATGCCGAGAGGTGGAAGTGACATGGGGAGATTAATGAAGTATGGGCATGAGAGTATTGTTCTTCATCTCTCTCCTGCCTCTTCCTCTTCCTCTTCTTCTATTAAAACCCTATCATGAAAAAGACCAGGTCTAGGTTGGATGTCCATTTAGCAGCAACTCATCCCACAGGTTTCATATTTTGCATGGGAAACAATATTGAAAATCGAAAAAACTACTCAAAATGATCATCTATTTTTACGTATAATAAAAGTTAAATTTTCATTTTTTTTATATTTTATTCAATGATAAAAAAAAATTTTATTTTTATTCCAATATTTCCTTTCCTAGCTTTTTTAAACAAAATTATTTATATCAAATTTAACAAATTTATAAAACAATTATCTTATTATAACCTTCTACTAAATTCAACTCAAATAATAAAATAAACATATTTTTTTGATCACTTGAGTCAATCATTCATTAATAATTTCAACTTATTTTAAGTATACGTACAAGATTATTTCTTCACAAGTTTTATATCTTTCAAACAAACCAAATTTATATTCTTCAAAATACCAAAAAATATATATATTAAAATATATTTTTACCAAAAAAAATATTATCTCAAATATTTAGGTAGTGTTTGATTTAAGAAAATAGAGTCATTTTTTATTTTTATTTTTTTGAAAAATAAAAATCATGAGTGCAGTAAATTTTTTAAAATTAAAAATAAAAATAGGTTAAAATATGAAAAAAAAATGTATTTTCAATTGTGAAAAAAAGGTATTTACATTATTTTTTTTATATTTTATAAATTATCATATTTAAATATTTTTAATGTCATTAATTAATAAATATATATTGTATTTATAATTAAATGCAATTAATATTAATATTATTGAATATTTTATTTATTTTCTTATTTTTACATTTTTAAAAGATAATTTTTATTTTTGTTTACTAAATACAATTTTTAAAAAACAAAAAATTAAAAATAAAAAAAAAAAACAAAAAATATTTTCTTAAGAGCCTTAATTTCTAATTTAGAAAGTCAACTGACATAACTGGATAAAGGCTTTTTTTTCCCCTCATGTTGGGAAGGGTAAGACTGTTAAAAATTGATTACCGCCATGTACGATTGAAACTGTCTTCCCTCCTTGAAAATCCGGTGCGAATCAGAAAAATATCTTATTAAAGTTCAACGTCGCAGCCTCTTAAAGTCCAAAACAAACCAATCAGTCCAGCCGGACAAGCTTCCTTGGTTTTTACGGTTTTACCAATTGCTTCTCTCTCCTGCTCTCTCTCTAATTCCTTTGTCGTTTTCTTCACAACCCATCCAATAAGAAGAAGGGAGGGTCTCAAGATAGAATTCCTCTCATCCCCTCATCTCTTGGCTCTTTTCTTCAACCTGAGATATGAAGGGCATGGCGAGTGCCCTGCTCTTTTTGGCTACTGTTTTGTTACTTATCTCCACGTTTCACCCAAAGGTATTTTGCGATTTTTTTTTTTTGTTTTCCTAATTTGGGTCTGATCTATCTTTTTCTATTATGCGTTTTCTCGTTCCCTTCTGGGATTGTAAAATCTATTTCCTTTGATTGTTGTGGGTTCTGATATCAATCAACCTGTGTTAATTATGTGTGAATATTATGTGAAGCTAACCTGCAACTGTGTTGACTTTGATAAATGGCAATAGTATCCAGAATCTAAGTTCTGCTCGATCGGTTTCAGTTTTTTAGATTGGAAACTTAAATTGTTGATTTTTTTTGAGCTGATAGTGGTGAAAAGACAAATTTTTTTTTTTTTTCTAGGTTACCTTTGTAAGTCTTCCTCTTCAAAATCTTTTCTTTAGGTAGTTTGGTTTTGTATGATGAAAGTTGTAACCTATTTCAACATTAAAAAAAAGAAATGGTTTTCTCAAGGGAGACATTGGAGAAGCTTATATATTATACTGGGTATAGTGTATCACCGGTAGTTTTGCTTTGATGTGTGGCTGCCATCATTGGTGTGCTAGATTAGCTATTGATTAGATTGTTATAATTGTGCATCCGGGGTTCTATTTCTATGGTAAATTAAGTACTTTACATGTATTTCATTTCCATTTGTTGCTCTATTCGGCATTTATAAGTTTTTAGATGCAATTGGAACTTAGTTGATGCTGTATTGTCAGCAGGTGATTGCTGTGGAAGAACTTTCCAAGGTCAAGCTTAACTCTCGAATCCTTCAGGTATTTTCCCAATTGAATGTCTTTAAGCAAAAAAAAAAAAAAAAGTTTCTCAGGTCTAAGAACAAATTATTATTTCTTTACTCTCACTATGACCATGTAGGATTCAATTGTAAAACAAGTAAATGAAAACCCCAAGGCTGGATGGGAAGCTGACCTTAATCCTCGATTTTCTAATTACTCTGTAAGTTGTCTAGTTGCAGGACCTTGTTAGTGATCTTTCTCTTTCTGAGGCATGTGTTGGTAGTTCTGTATGCTTACTAGTTCCAAATTTGTCATTTTTGGTGCAAAGGTTGGCGAGTTTAAGCACCTTCTTGGAGTCAAACCAACACCCCAGACGGAACTTCTGGGCATTCCTGTTATAACTTATGACAAATCCTTAAAGTTGCCAGCTAATTTTGATGCTAGAACAGCTTGGCCACAATGTAGCACGATTGGAAGAATTCTTGGTGAGTTGTGTGCAAGTTTATTTAATTTTACTACTTTTGACTAATGGACTGATGATTTCCTTCTTTATATGATGAATCAATTCTTGAATCAATTTCCATATTGAAGATCAGGTAACTCCATTTTCATTTCTCTCGGTTTTTATATCTCATATTTTATGTAAATTCTTATTATGTTTAGCTGCTGATGGTTTAGGGTCACTGTGGTTCTTGCTGGGCTTTTGGTGCTGTTGAATCACTCTCTGATCGGTTCTGTATCCATTTTGGCATGGTAAATGAAACTTTTGTTTTCAGAAAATGAGACATCATTACAGTTAATGGCAAATTTATTTGTACTTACAAATTATTTCATTGCAGAATATATCTTTGTCTGTTAATGATCTTCTTGCCTGCTGTGGCTTTTTATGTGGAAGTGGTTGTGATGGGGGGTACCCAATCTCTGCGTGGCGATACTTTAAGCGCCGTGGTGTTGTCACTGAGGAGGTATTATTGTTACTATTAACATAATTATTTCTGCTCACTGGAGACATCATCACAATCTTCATTGTTACTGTTATTGCTCTTCAGTCTCTAATCATGGGCAATTAGTTTCTTATCTTTAGTAGTTTTTAGTATCATATACATAATAAAATGATAAGATTATTTCCTTCAAAATTGTTGATTTCACTCTCTGTGATTAAATCTTCCAAACTTCCAATCTGATTTATTGCTGAAAATTATTGCTTAACTTAATTTGCCTCTTATTCTCAGTTGATGCATTGCTTTCTATTTTGTTTTTCTGAAATATACTTTTTCTCAGTAATGAATAGATTATTCCTCTTGCAGTGTGATCCATACTTTGATGATATTGGTTGTTCTCACCCTGGTTGTGAGCCTGGGTATCCTACTCCCAAATGTGTGAAAAAGTGTGTTAAGGGAAACCAGCTTTGGAGGCAGTCCAAGCACTATAGTGTCAGCACATATAGAATCAATTCAGATCCAGCTGATATCATGGCCGAAGTTTATAAGAATGGACCTGTTGAAGTCTCCTTTACTGTTTATGAGGTGAAGAAAGCTCTCATACTTTTCTAATTGAATTTGCTGCTTCTCTTGGTGAGCAATTTCAATGTGGTCAGCTTGGCTTTGAAACTAGACCTTTTGTATGAATCCCAAGCAAGAGCTGACATGTGTTTGGCACTTAAGAATCAGATTAGATGTCAGACCTGGTTTTCCTTGAAAATTGCTCCTTATCGCATATTACCAAGCTCTTTGACCTCAAAATGCATGAAAATAACAATATATAGGAGGCATGTTGTATTTGATATTCTAGCTTCTTCACAATTTTACAGGATTTTGCTCACTACAAGTCAGGAGTTTACAAATATGTGACAGGCGGTGTTATGGGAGGCCATGCAGTTAAGCTTATTGGGTGGGGAACTTCTGATGATGGGGAGGATTACTGGGTATGTTTGAATAGTTTTATCTTTAGCCAGATATCTTAGAATCATATAATTGATTGAGTTAATGCTTTGATATTCTACCTTTTCCCTATTGCAGCTTCTTGCAAACCAGTGGAATAGAGGCTGGGGTGATGTATGTTTTCCATCAAACTTTTCTCCATATTCATTTAGGAAAAAAAACTGTCTTTAGGATGCTTAAATATTGATTATCATATTTTGCAATGCAGGATGGTTACTTCAAGATCAGAAGGGGCACAGATGAGTGTGGCATTGAATCTGATGTGGTAGCTGGCTTGCCTTCCACCAAAAATCTTGTTAGAGAGGTTGCTGATATGGGCACTCTCGAAGATGCTTCATTTTGAGAGTAATTCATCTAGACAGGCCTACTATTATTTATGTATCAGTTGGGAGTTGCAATCATAATCTATCTGTGCGTAAGCTGCTATTGATGTTTCCATGTTGATTTTCAAATATTATGCTTCATCCTGCAAGAATTTCATCCTGTATGTGTTCTGCTTCATCATATATATAATGTTCCCACATGAATTCTAATAAACTACCACTGTAATTTGGCCTGGTAGTTATCATCAGAAATGGCTTGCCATGAACTGTATGAGTTTTTTTTTCATTTCCTGTTTGAGAGGATTTTTAGTCCTGTTATAAACAAGGAAAGAGCAAAACAACGCAATAAATAACAATAGTCAGCTGGATCTATAAACAGGACACACAAAAAAAATGCATGTTCTCGCACGCAAGTTCGTAACCTGATTCTGCCATGCCAGCATTGGCAGCAGTCCCATTTAACTTTTGATGACTGAGTTATTGAGTTTAGATGGATTTCAGTAAGAAAGAAAACAAAACAAAAAAAGAAGGGAAATTTCTATGGGTGGTTGATTCTTTTTCTCCCCTCTGGAACAGGAGGAAAGCAAGCAAAGCAAAGAGATTAAAAGGGGCTTTCTTCTCGCTTTGCATTTTCCCAGTTGTACAAGAGGGGAGAAGATTAGGTGGCAATGGCCAAGTGGCTGTTTGGGCATCGAGGGAGGGACAGGGAAAAAAATCCCAACCGAAACGAGTCTCTGGCTTTCCCGGACGCGTTTAAAATCACAAAAACAATGAAATACTATCAAATATTTTAATTATTGAAAAATATTAGATGAAATGAAGTAATAATTGATACTCTCTCTACACAAATCTTTCACTTTGATACTGTGTTCGGGAAGAAAAGAAGGAAAAACAAAATAAAAATAATAATATCACTCCGTCGTAGATTGATTGATACAAAAAGGCTCACGTTCTGTTTTTCTCTGTTCTGTTTTTGTGGTTTTAAGTGGACACATGCACCAATAAATTTCTCCATTGTTTCTCCTCTATTACTATCCTTTCCTTTCATTTGCCATTGTCTCCAGCGACTAAATTCTCTTTTTCTCTATTCGGTTTCTGTCATTGGTTCCTTCAAAATATCAAGGAAAAGGGTCAAGTTCCACTATGGAAAGAAGTTGAATTTTTTTTATTCTACTTTTAATTCTTGGCATTGTCTCGAGTGAAACTTTTTCTTTTCTGGCATTGGGTTCCTTAGAATTATCAAGAAAAAGGGTATAGTTGGAATCTTGGGAGGGATTTAAGTGAATTTTTTTCTCTTTGTATTGTCTTCTCAAGTTAAAAACTGTTTTTTCCTTAATTTTCTGGTATTGGGTTCCTTGGAATTTTAGAGGAAAAGGCTAAAGTTGGAAGGAGGATAAAAGTGTTTTGCATGAGAAGATGTCGATGCCAAGGAGCTATAGCAAGTGATGAAGATGAGAGGGGAATCAGTGTTGGGCAAAAAGACCATTCTCAAGAGCGACCATTTCCCTGGATGCCAAAACAAGCGCTTGTCTCCACAGATCGATGGTGCTCCCAATTACGGTCAGGTTCTTTCCCTTTTGATTCTTTGTTTTCCCTTCCAGAGATTTATTTTCCTGCATTTTTGTTTAGGGAATTGACAGGAATGGGCATCTAGGATGAATTCTTGCCTTTTTATAGCTTTTCTAGGATATCTTATCTTTAAAACAGAAGGGATTACAAGATATGAAGACATCTGCTTATTGTTTGTGAAAAAAAAATTAGGCAATGGAGAATTAGTTATGAACTTCGTTTCACCTTATATTTGTTCTCCCCAGTAATCATAAAAACTTTCACTCAATTTATGCTTCTTACTTTCTTTCGGTTTACATTTTGATTATCTCCACGTGTCAATTTAACAAGTTTGTCTGAACAATATAACACATTAATAAGTGAAAGAATAAAATAGTTCACATCCTTAGTGAATTGCTCCTGTTGGATATTGCTTAGACTTACAAAAATAGGGTGGTAATATCATAGGTGATATAAGTTCTAACTATTTTGGTAGGCTGAACCATAAATTACATGGCGTACTATGCCCTTGGTTTCATCTTAACTGTTATATTTCATATGTCTTTTAAGTGTCCTAGATGCCGCCATGCTTACATATTGGAATACCGCTTCGAGTTGATAGCACTTATTTTATAGCATGATCTATTTTGTTAAATTTCATATTTTTTTAACCCTTTTTCCTTTGTCTTTTTTGGGTCTGCTATTAACAGGCGGATTCATTGCATGTTCATGGTGTTGTGATTCCAACAATTGTTGGAATTCAAAATGTTCTTAAGCATATTGGAGCCTAGAAAGATGGGAAGCAAGCACATGCTTTTTGGATTAGTCTTCGGGAGGAACCGGTAAAATGATATCTAACCAATTGATTTCTGTTTGTTGATAAGTGCATATAGACAGAATGCTATGTTTAGTTGACAGTTAGGATACTCTGATTGACTACTAAAAACATGATTCTTTTATAAAAATAATTTTGAGAATATGAGATGTGGCTTACTCAATGTGGTTCATCAAATTCTGTAAAGATTTTATTTTTATTCTCAATGGTAAATGGAAATGCCTTTCCCTTTTTAATCTTTTAGACTTGCTTGTATTAGATTGGCTTCTGCTTATTTAGGGTTGCATTCACTGCACATGTTAGTATAGTTCAGAGCCTCTTATCCTATCTTAAATTGCTAAGTGTCACACATGCACAACAAGCAGGCAAGTTCTTGGTCCTAAGTTATGAAAAATGATTAAACATTGACAAAGCCCGTGTATTATATGCCTTTGAACCTGTTTGTTCCAAGTGGATGGATACCCTGTTTATAGCATGGCAACTCCAACAATTATTGGTGCTAAAGAGATGCTAGCATATCTTGGTGCCAAGTTCAATGCAGAAGGAGTTGCTGGTAAGAAAGTGGTGGTAACTGATCTGAGAAAAGAGGCAGTTGTGTTCATTAATTGCATGCCATTTGTACTGAAGGGGTTAAATAAGCCTGTTGATACCCTAAAGCATGTCAGAATTACTGGCCTGTGGTATATCATCATGAATGTTGTTTACTGTTTGTCGTAACTCATAAGTTATTTAGCACCAATTACTTAAGCCAACTTCTTGCATTGTGACCATAACACAGGTAGAACACATTGAGGCACGGCTAAAGAAAGTCTGGTGGTCGAATGCTTTTACATTGTGAAGAATATAGCCCATCATCCAATCAGTCTAATGTTGTAGGATACCGGGAAACCATCTTTGCTGATGATGTGAAGACACCTGCTGAAGTATATGCTGCTCTAAAAGATGAGGGATATATAGCATATAGGACTTAGGAGGATACCATTAACAAGAGAGAGGGAGGCTTTAGCTTCTAATGTGGATGAAATCCAGAACTGTCAAAATGAGTTAGTATCAGAATATCTCTCTTAATTTCCTTAATAATTATCAGTATTTCTCCCTTAATAATCTCCTTCCACATTTCCCACTCCCACCAGTTTATGATTGATTGCTTTATATCAGGAGGGTTGGTGATTTGGTGATGAGAAACCTGACCACTCGGCCAATGGTGTTTAGATCCTTTAGAAGCCTTTTATTTTAGTTTTGGTTAGGGGGCTTAGCAGGTTAAAATTTCATAGGATCATAAAGTGAAGCCCCTCAAAAGACTATGGAACAGTGTCCAAGTGCTATATCTGAGATTCATGGAGTAGGACACATTTTTTCTTCAATTTTTTATTTTATCTACAGGATGGCCATTGTAGAACAAGTGAAAACCCAAATAGTAAACTAATCCAAAGACGTGGTAGACTGCAGCACTAGTTTTTTTTTTTTATCATTTGTCCAATTACAGAACTGTACTTCCCTTTTTCTTTTTTTTTTTTTGGCTTGTAACCGTATCGAAGTAATCCAAATATCAAATGTAATGTTTGCTTTTCATTTTGCTTTCTATCTGTCATATTAATCTTCGAAAAAGCAAAAAACAAATCTTAAGAGTTAAAGATTTTTCTTTCTTGTACAACAAAATTCATTAAAAACCAAGATCACGCATAGGAGCAGATATGGCAAGCAAGCACGAGCTGGAAGTTAACGGTTCGATGTTTTCTATTGCCTAGGAAACAGAAAAGTACTTTCGATACCCGATGTAACTAGAAAAAGAAAAGGGTTAAGTATGTCTCAAATTCATGGACATGGATCTGATCTTGTCTAGACCATTGCCATGTAATTCTTTCCATTGCTTTGAGATATTCAAATATTGTGTTGGTACAACAAAATCCATGTCACTCTCCATGATAATCAAAGGCGGTATCAAATCTGAAAATATGTGCAAATAATAGAATATTAAACGTTTACAAAGAAATCAAAAGACCGGTAATCCTGGGCCGTTAGTCAACCGCAACAGACTCATTGATTGTTGATGAAAGGGATATTTTGACCGTTGCAGGGAGAGAGAGAATGTGTGTTACAGTGTGAGAGTGAAACCCGCACCCACAGTATTTTTCAGTCGCTCTCTTTGAATCCTGAAACCAGACTCTGTTTTCCTATTTTTCCTTACAGAAAGCTGCATCATGATCCCAAGGAGAGAACATTAAGGGTGTAAAGGTCGGTGGTGGTGCGGGAAAACAAATCTTTGCCAGCTTTTGCTTCCCATTTTCTCTGCTTGGTCGGTATCTTTCTCTGGATAAATTAATGAACTCACCATTGTTGTTTTCGTTCTTTTTCTTTCTTGGGTTGTTTCTTTTCTTTTGACTCAAGAAGAAGAAACAATTAAATAAATATGGGTTTCATGCACATGCAAGAAGGAAAGCCCAAGAAGAGGGAAACAGCGTACGGTCCTAACTGCATCATTAAGACTTCAACTGTATAAGCATATTTGTTTATGCATTTAACTTATAAAAATGGTAAAGGCTTTTATTCTATATTCTACTTGAGAATCTCGAAAACTTAACTGGGTTTTCCATTGGAAATAGATTTTTATATGTCGAAAAACAATAAAAAGTCGGTGGTGTTGGGTGTTGGTCTTGTTCTTGGAGCCATTCCTTGCTCCTTCTGGAGGCAATTTTATTTCATTAATTCATCTTTTTTGCTTCTAATATTTGACCCTATAAAGCAGGCATTAACATGGCTCCTCATGGTTCGTGTGAACATCGCTTAGAAACTTTACACGTTCTTTCCTTCATTATTATTGCTCATCATGGTTCATGTGATTACGTATAATTTTTTTCATTTTTTATAAGTGAATTGTTAATTTAGTAAGATTGCGTAAGCTTCTCTTCTCTTCTAAAGCTTTTGGTTTTGTATTTTATGATTGAAAGGATATATCATTATGACGTCGGCTGTTGTTTAAGTTATCTTTATATGTTTGAGATGGAACTATAGTAACATCAAATCCCAATAAATCGGCATTGAAATTTTGGTAAGTAATGATCCGTTTTTCAAAATATTGATTTTCTTGCTTTGATATTGTTGAGCAGTCATCAAGATAACAGAGAAGTGCAACTAACAGGAGGATAACTGGAGAAGTGTCAAGAAAAAGGCTTGTTCTTGGGCTCTATATTCTTTCCTTGAAGAAGAGAAATCTTTAATAGTAAGAATTTCGTTTAGAACACAGCCAAAAGGCAAAAAATGTTGGGTTCTTGCTGTGGTCCATCATCAAAACTACCGCCATCCAACCAGGACAGGATTCTGTCATCTTCATTCTTTGGTAATGCAGTGGGAATAGGGAAATCCAACAGTGCAATAGCTGGTGTTGGGTTGGGGAAGACCAACATCCCTAGGAGGAAATATGCTGCAACCAAAAGATTTTCTATCTCTGCTGTTCTAGCTGATGTTGCGAAAGATTTCATGGTAATTCTCTATTTGTGTTATGTTGATCAATTTTCTAGCAGTTAGTATTGGACGACCACTCAATTCCGTTTCCTTTCCAACCCTGAACTTGCAATGCAGGCTTTCCGGGCAAATATTTTGCCAAAACAGGAGGCAGACCCCAAGACCGTTGCCTCTATCATATTAGGTGGTGGAGCTGGAACTCGGCTCTTTCCCCTTACTCGAAGAAGGGCCAAGCCAGCTGTAAGCTAACTTCAAATATTCGATGCCACCTTTAAATTTATGGTTATATTTATCTACATACCTCTAACATTTGCTTTCTTTGATACTCTACATGGTCTGTAGGTTCCAATAGGGGGATGTTATAGACTGATTGATGTCCCCATGAGTAATTGCATCAATAGCGGGATTAACAAGATTTACATCCTCACCCAGTTCAATTCTCAATCTCTCAACCGCCACATTGCTCGGACATATAATTTGGGCAATGGTGTGACCTTTGGTGATGGGTTTGTTGAGGTATTTTGAACAATTCTGAATTTCTAAGATTCACCTTTTAGAACCATGAAAGCTTCAAACTATGGCAGTGTTGTTGATGATTGGTTAGTCAAGAAGGATTATAGAAAAGACTGGATAAGGAGCTTTAACATGTTTGCTAAAGGGATTAAGTGTCCTTTTTATGATGTCTCTGCTACATATGCTTCTAATGGTGCTTCTTGTCTTGCCATAGGTATTAGCAGCTACACAAACATCAGGTGAATCTGGAAAGAAGTGGTTTCAGGGTACAGCAGATGCCGTAAGACAATTCATTTGGTTGTTCGAGGTATGCCAAACATGTCTGTCGTTGTTATGTTTTATGAGTTTCTTCCTTCATAATTGGTCTGTGTTTTCCAATTCAGAATAGAAATGCTAAGGGAATAAGAGTTAAGTGAAGAAAGTTGTATTAGCTTATTCTACCATTTGGGTGATATTTTATGGAAACATGAATGTTTGTATTCTCAAATTGGGTGATATTTTATGGAAACATGAATGCTTCTATTCTCAAATTGGGTGATATTTTGGGGTAACTTGTGTAGGATGCTAAACATAGACATATCGAGAACATTCTGATATTATCCGGTGATCATCTATATCGAATGGATTACATGGACTTTTTGCAGGTGAACCGCAGCTGCTCACTCAATTTTTTTCCTTACTCCGTTGTCTTTTACGTTATATATTGTAGGCTTTACAAAACACCTATCTCTATTGCAGAAGCACATTGATTCTGGTGCTGATATATCTGTTTCTTGTCTCCCTGTGGATGAAAGGTTAAAATTTTTAACCAAAATTTGTCTCATTTTTCGGTTAAATTGTGCCTATTCTTTCTCGCCTTCTATAAGATTCTTTCTTGCCTTGTATAAGATTATATTATCACCAGTAAAATGACACTGCACTAACAAAATTTTGGTTGAAACATTTCTTTCACTTCTATCTTTTTCCACCTCGTTAAAGAAATTATCTTCTTATCCTGCAGTCGTGCCTCTGATTTTGGATTGCTAAAGATTGATGAGAACGGACAGATTAGGGAGTTTCTTGAGAAACCTAAGGGTGAAAGTTTGAGATCGATGGTTGGTACTCGTCCTTTGTTTCTCCTGATATAACTTGTTTTAATTTGAAACTAGCAGTTAGCTGATTGAAACTTCTTATCATGACAGCAAGTCGATACAACTGTTTTGGGATTAACAGCTCAAGATGCAAAGAAATCACCTTACATTGCATCGATGGGTATATATTTATTCAAGACAGAAGTTCTAATGAAACTACTAAGGTAATAAAGCTTGAGATGCAAAGGGTCTCCAATAAACTGCATTAATGTTCTGGTTTGCTTTAACCAGAACAGATATATTTTTTCTCTCATCAACACTGCATCACTTTGTTTTAGGGGTTGTAATTGTTATTTTAGATGGACCATTTCAGTGTATGTGTTGGCAATTCTTAAGTTTGTGCCACAGAAAGAGATGATGTTTCTTTTTCTCTATTGTTTTTGTTTCTTTAGGTGGCATTATCCTGCAGCAAATGATTTTGGATCTGAAATCATTCCACTGGCTATGAAAGATTACAATGTTAAGGTAGGCTCTTAAAAGATAATTAGGGATCACTATTACTTGGGGGTTTCCATTTTCAGTTGTTTGTAGTAGAGCCTCTAAGTTGCAGCAGTCATTTATACATGGCAGGCATATTTATTTGATGACTATTGGGAAGACATTGGAACTATAAAATCCTTTTTTGATGCAAATTTGGCCCTCACAGATAAGGTAGCCCTCTTTTAATCTATCCCTGCAGTCTTTCCTTATCTAACACACACTTACAAGCTGCCACTTGTTGTCTGTATGTTTAAAGCCCCCCAAGTTTCACTTCTATGATCCCCTAAAGCCAATCTTCACCTCTCCTCGGTATCTACCACCAACAAAAATAGAACACTGCCGGGTAATAATTTATTTTGAACTTCTTGATGTGTGATTACATGGCATGGCTAAGTTGATGCATATAGAGATCATGCAATTACCCCTGTTTATTCTAGGTTGTGGACTCTATAATTTCGCATGGCTGCTTCTTGAGAGAATGCAGTGTCGAACATTCCATTGTGGGAATTCGCTCAAGATTAGAATATGGGGTAGAGCTAAAGGTAATTTTTTCCATTACTTATTTATTCATAAGGTTCCTTTAATTTTATTTCATGCTTTTCTGGTTGATAACGTTATCTGATATTTATATGTGCAATGGAAGGAATACTATCTAATAATAAGAATGATGGAAGGAAGAATATTATATGGTTGAAGCAGATATAGTTATTTTGAACCAAGACTCTTTAATATCATCCTAAAAATCCCATCTAGTTTGTTTGTGGTCTATTCCACTGTTTTATAGCTCTTTGGATCCCTTTACATCCACTAGTCAAAATTTCATCCTCTACATAACTGCATCATATTCATATTGTTCTTCCTATCAATTCAAATACTACGAAGTTGAGTATGATCACGTTTAATGGAGCCAATAGGAGCCTGCCGAAAATCTCTAACTATGTGGAAATTATAATTTTCACTGATTCTACAGGATACATTGATGATGGGTGCTGACAATTACGAAACTGAGGCAGAAATAGCATCCTGTTTAGCAGAGGGAAAAGTTCCACTGGGTGTTGGGAGAGATACTAAAATTACGTAAGTTTCCTTTGACTGTGTCTTCTCTGTCACAAACTATGAACAATGTACTATACTTTATGCTTCCAAGTTAGAATTTAACCATATATACTCATTGTTTTTTTCTTAGACCATCTCAGGTTTATTTTCTTGATGGAAAGAGCATAATTGATTTTTTCTAAGCTTTGATTTTTTATTAACTGCTTGTTACTATATCTATCCCGCAGGAATTGTATTATAGACACAAATGCGAGAATCGGAATGAATGTTGTCATTGCAAACAAGGATGTAAGTTAACTCTTTGTTACAGGGAAGAAATGTGGTTTTTGGTAGATATTTGGTTAATATTACATTCGTTATGCTTCTGGGTCTTATGACTGTATTAGTTGTTGCAAAAAAGTCATTCTGAATGAGGCAGTAACCAAGGACTTCCATCCGTCTACTCTTTTTTGGTTGAATTGCAGAAAGTGGAAGAGGCAGATAGACCATCTGAGGGGTTCTATATTCGATCGGGGATTACTGTAGTGTTAAATTCTGTAATTAAGGATGGAACTATTATTTAGTACATTTCTCTGAGGTCAATCATATGCATTTTGATTTACCAAAGGTTGGTTTGACATTTTTATCTACGGGAAAATATCAATAAGTTCGTGAGGTTGATTACTGGAAGGTGCAGTGTAAATTATTCGTTATAGTATTTGATTAATTTTGTAGTTTGCTCAAGGTGCTAGACGGAACAATTTTGTTGGCCTCTTGGCTGGAAAAACAAAGCAGTGAAACATGCAAGTGCAAATTTCCTAGAAGTAAAGTGGAGATTAGCACAAAACTTTCATCAACTTTACCAACATAAAGTAAACACACTTCACAATTTGACTTTATCAAAGGGACTTCTTGGATGTCCTATTCTTTGTTATTGTTGGTATCTTGACTTGGAATATGGTTAGTGGTATTAAACCATGTCCAGAATGTAGTTCATTAGGCATTTGTTCAACTAAAGTCATCTGATGATTTCGCCTGTAGTACTTTAATAATAATTTGATTGTTTCAAGGAAACTATATCATCTTCAAGTGAGAGACGATAGTTTGTGAGACTGCTGAGCAATGATACTTGCAGTTGAAGGGCTCTGTTCTAAAACAACCTGGTAGCCATCTCCCATATTATCCATTCCAAGGCCCAAGAGTTGCCAAAAGAGCCCGCCAGCACATGATCCCCCACTTCTAGCGCTGTTGTAGATTGCATTGTATATCCTCTGGAAGTAATAGTTTCTCTTCTCTAAGCTGTACCCTGTTAACTTGGATGACGTGCCAAACTCTCCTATGAGAAGTGGTTTTTTCAGTACTGAATTGGAGTCCAGGATATGGGCTTCTATCCATTTGTCGACGAAAGCAAGCTGGGCCTCATCGCTTAAATTTGTTGATGGTAACCTGCGATTAGATTAGTGAAAAGAAAAATGAAATTTCCCCCTCCTTGGTGCATGACAGAGGATATCCAGTGTGTGAAGTACTACAGATTACCATTGCTCAGGGTAGAGATGAATAGTTGCAAAATCGACGTCGGGGATCTGATTATTGGAAATGAAATCAGTCCCAAAGGGATAGCTATTTGGATTGTACTGTTTCTTCTCAGGCATCGATTCCCCATAAAATCCTTCAAGTCCTATTTCCAGTAGATGATGATTATCAATGGACTTGACATGTGCAGCCATTTGTTTTAACCAGTTCTGTAAAGATATTAAGCAAAAAAAAAACAAGTAGTTAGCCGTGGTTCTATAAGCATTGAAGCTGATTATACGTTGACAGAAGTTTGATCATCATCAATCTAGGATTTTGATTCTCTATTGCTCTTTGAGAGTTTGTTCATATGATTCCCTGTGGAGTTACATGCCTGTATGCTACAGACATAAGCCAAAATAGCTAATCAGTTTCTTATCATTTATGTCAATGCGTAACAACAAACCAAATTTTTTTTCTTGATATGGTCATATCATCTTTAGTCATCTTCTATCCCTGATCCACCAATGTGAAAATGGATTTTGTTCTTTAGCTGTGATGGCTTGAATTCCTTTTTCCTATGAATTTAATTCAATTAACTGTAGACTTAGGTAATTTGTTTTGATTACCGTCTTAGTGTCTTATTCACATTATTCTTTATTATTCCACTTTCTAGCGTTCACATGATAATCAGAAAACCTGAAACCACTTTTGTACAGTATTGCATGAGTCGCTTTTATGTGTCATAAGACAAACACAAGCAGGATTTCACGCAAAAATTAGCATGCAATCAAGCACAACCGGAGAGAGGGCCAGCGAGCATAAACCTGAAGATCGGCACCAGAGGGGTCGCTAGGGCAACGAGGTTCATTCATGAGTTCCCAAGCAAAAATGGTAGGATCGTCTTTATATACCACTCCGGTAATCGTGTTGATTCTCATGAGCACTGCCTGTAACCATCGTTATTCTGCCATAATTTTAAAATCAAGTAATAGTAGCTAACAACAAAGACCTCTTCCTCCTCACCCGAAAAGGAAAATGAAATTGATAAATACAGTGCAAAAAAAATTGAGACTTTGGCCATGGCATCTCTATTCTTACGATGCAACAAGCCAAACCTGTCAAATATTAATTAATTTCTGTCCGATATCTATTTGTTCTATGACTTAATAAAAACCTACCCAGGAATCATTTTTTCAAGTTTTCTAAGGAAACTGTAGAACATCAGGCTATGAAGTCAATCCCATCTTCAAATTTGGGTGGATGAAACTATCAATCATAGAGTGGACCTAACCAGGCCAGGGGCCCGGCACAGTCCTTTCATTAGGTTCTCCCCATCCTTGCAAAACTGGAAAAGATTTTATGATTCCCACCGGCTACTGTAATGATTTAACGACTAAACCCAAAATCCCCAAGTAACTCAGCAATTAGTTGCAAACATTTATTAAAGGGGAGAAAAAGTGGTTTCAAAAAATTAATACAAGTTCCAGAAAATCAAAAGCTGTGCACCAACGTACCTTAACATGATTCTTGTAGTATTCTTTGACAATAGAGTTTGTATAAAAGTCATCTTCATTACTAAGTTTCTGACCTCGTTGCTTCGCCCATTGAACGTATTTATCTTTTCCTCCGAAATCTTTGAAGTTATTCACCAAACTTAGAATCAATTGAATTCCGTACTTCTTTGCTTCTGCTACAACAAAGTCCAGTCCCTGGAAATTAATAATTACCCATGAATGTGTAGATTTTGAAACAAGGAAAAGAAACTGTTACCCACAGGAAAACTTAATTAATCCGCCTTACCTTGAACACTTCCTCATTGTAAGAACCAGGAGAATTTTGAAGAGGCCTGTAATCACCATCGTTAAAAGCCCAAGTTCTTGCTATATTCATGCCATACTTGGAGGCTTCTCGGAATGCATCTGTAACCTTGCTCCTTGTAGAAAGGTCAGATGCAAACATCATCATCCAATAAGCATTGAAGCCATTGAAGTAAAAAGGCTTTCCATTCATGACAAAGTTGGTTCCTCTTGTTTGAACGAAGCCACTGCCTCCAAGGTCAGGCCGAGCATGGCAAATTCCTCGATGGAAGATCATCATCATCCGGATTAACAGGACGAAGCTATAGAACCAACGATTTTCCTTCATATTGCACAGGACTTGGAAATTTTTGTAGGCAGACAGTGTACGTAGTCAATGAAGCACCAAAGCCAGTTTGTTCATAAATCTATTATAAAAAAATAAAAAGGACAACGAGATTGTAGAAAACATACAGAGAAAATAAATTGGAAGTTGAGAGATTGTAGGTTGCGCAATGGTGGTGTGGTTTAAATAAGGCACCAAATTTGTACAAATCATCCATCTACTGGATTTTTTTTGTTGATTCATGTGACGTATATGAATTTCTGAAACTACTATTATGTTTTGATGGATGAATCTTGACGTACCATGTAAAAGAAACTGCCTTTTATAGCATTTTCTTGTAATTGTCGTAGGGGTTTCTTCAACTACAAGTATCCATGAATCACACGTATTACATGAATGACACAAATGCCTTGAGTATTTGGTGGATTTTGCCGTGCAAGCAAATGCCACAAATGTAATTACTTCAATTTCTTTTCTCTACACTTGTCTAATTAATCTCTTTACTCGTTAAACTATCTCTTTAATCAATTTGTAATTGATAATGGGTTTTTGGCCAAAAAAAAAAATCCAACATTCAAATCTTAATCGCTTTCTCTCAGTCTCAATCAATTGCATTTAAACAAAAACAAAGATAACAAAAATAAATATTTTGAAAGGATTAGGTTTTAAATTTAACCCACAACAAAACAAATCAAAACAAATCTCCCTCATCTTGGCCCTTCAAGGCCCAATAAAATGCAGCATCCACCGGCCCACGGTATCTTTGCCAAATTTAAACCCTTTTCATCTTAGCCCACCAAATTGATATTCACTCTAAAGACGAAATAAAATAAAATTCCCGCGCATTCCTGAATTCCCAAATTTGAAAACCGAGGGATTTTGTCCTAAGCATCTTTCAGTTTTCGATTTCGATTTCGCTCTCCCTTTCTCTTCAGTTTGCGTTTTTTTATGGTTTATTCGATAAATTTTACTGACGAAGAACTTTTTTTAATCAAATTTTCCTTTTTTTGTTGGTAAGATACATAAAGAACAGATGGAAAAATGGGAGGAAGAGATCAAGGAACTGAGGTTGGCAGATGCATCAAATGAGGAGGCTAGTGGAGTGTTGAGTAATGCTCGTTTCTTACTTCAGAATCCTGTTTTGGATTCTTGAAAGGTAAATTCTCTTATGTTAATCCAATTTCAATTCCAATTACATTTGTTCTTTAAACATGGAAGTTCAGTGAAATGATTTCCTGAGGTTAGATGGTTTCAAGAATTTTGAATGGTTTTTTATTGGAATGTTCGGAAAAGGTAATTGCTGCTTTGTATATGGGTCTCTATAAGTGAGAATTTGCTCATCCATTACTATTAGGTTTCGGTTGTTTGGCAGAATATAAATTTCGAAAAATAATTTTCTTGTTTTTAGGTATTTGTTTGACAAAAAATTGATTAATAAGTAAAAAATAATTTTCTTATCAATAAAAAATGAGATTATTTTTTTGAAATTTATTTTATGAATTTGAAAAAAAAATATTTTTTGAAGAAAAATTGTTTATGAGTAAAATTATTTATTAATACTTTTAAATATAATTTTATTTATAAATATAATATTATTTATTTATATTACTATATTATTATAATATTTATTTATAATAATATTTATTAATATATTAATTATTAATATAATATTACTTATGTTAATAAATAATTTTATTTTAAGTATTTTTATATTAACAAAATATTTTAATATTAAATATTATTATTAAAATATAATTATTTTTTAATATTAATAATTTTAATAATAAATCATTTTAATATATTTTAATAATAAATAATTTTTAATATTTTAATAATTATATTAATATTATTTTAAAAAATGCAATTTTTTAAAAAATAAATAACAAAAAATATTTTTTATTAACTCATTTATGTAATAAAAATAATTTTTAATTCAAAAAATATAAATATTTTTTCAAAATTATTTTTTCAAAATTAATTTTTACGAAACAAAGGGAATATAGGATAATTTAAAACGATAGATTCAAACGCGTTTTATGGGACAACGTCAGGCCTGAGTGTTATGCCATTGGCCCATTAGTTTTAATGATTGCAAACTTATTTGTCTTTATGAATTGATTTTCAAAATAAAAAATTGACCTTACAAAATATGAGTTGGCAAGCAAAACTTATACTCTTTGACTTATGTGTGTTTATGATTTAAATTTCTCAACCATGTGAAAATGATAGTACCACTGTCATATATCTTGTTTGTTTGGGAATGTGAAAATAATTTAAATCATAAACTCAAATTCAACCATTATTATTACATATAAAATGTTGGGTTCAACCCATAGATTTACTTCAAAGTTTGAAAAATGAATACAGAATTCATACAAAGTAGCAATCTCAACCAAAATGAGAGCCAGGATTTGATGATGTTCCCTTGTCCTCCTCGAACTCAAAGGCTTCCTTTAGCTTTTCTTGGGGGCAAGCTTGTTTTTTATTTTGTTGACTTCCTTGGTCCCAATTTGGAAGGCTTTGGTCAACACATTGTCTGGCACTGGGGGTGTTGAAGCAAACAATGTTGCGGCAATAGATTGAGTTCCAGGCAATTGGCTGTTGAATCCTGCAATCACGGAAGCTGGCTTGTCACCATTGTTCTTCTGGAAATGTACCAGACCTTTGGGGAAGACAAAAATGTCGCCTTTCTTGATGGATTTGGAGATCAACTTGTTTGCTGTAGTGATGAATCCAACATCCAATTCACCATAAAGAACAAAGATGATCTCAGTGGCACGTGGGTGGGTGTGGGGTGGGTTAAGGCCACCAGGTTCATAGTCAATGCGGGCAAGTGACACACCAAGTGTGTTGAGCCCTGGAATTTTCTCAACATTGGCTAATGTTACCACTGATCCCACTGAATTGTTGATGACTCCTGGGTTGGCTAGACCGTTAAAGAAAAAATCAGCTTCCGTAACATTTGCCTCGTCCTTGCATGGAAACCCATTCACCTTTATTCCTACAAGTTTATATACATTAGACGTTAGATAATTCCTGGTCAAAGAAAAGAAAAAGTATGCGTTTAGGTTAAAAGTTGTTATACCTGCAGCCTTATTAGCTACGCAGAGATCCTGGAGAAGATCAGGATCAGATGCAACCATGCCAAAGAAGGCAAGAAAGACGAAGAGACATACAAAAACCTTGGCGGCCATGAAGACAATTACAATCAAAAGAAGCAAAAAGGGCCGATTAATAGACGGGAAAAAATCAGAGAAAAGTTTTTGTTTTGATTGTTGGAAGAGAAAGGGGCAGTCTGGTTCATATATAGAAGGAAAATGGTCACGGATTGGTTGGAATCAGGCCTACTTCAACTTTAACACAAAGCAATTTGTTTAAATGCAGTACAAACTCAACCATCTTTGACCCCATGGGCCAGCATTCTGGACTTTTCAAGGGGACAACATGTAACGAACAAGGAACCAAGAAAAATTTTAATGCACTAATAAATAGAGGAAAAAAAATGATTGGAGCTTGGAAACTGCATCATGAAAGATCAAAAGTGTTAGCAAATTAAAGAGAAAAGCTTTACATGGTGGAGAATTTAAAGTGGAAAGAACAGCAATCAAAGTTTGGTGGAGGGGAGTTTTACAGGATAAATATGTTTCTCGCTTTGGGGAAGTCAAAAGAGGGAAAAGCAGGACATTTTTGCATCGTGCCAGCACCTACCACAAAGACAGCGATTCCCGTGAGTAGGGAAACAGGTCCTTCGGATGGGACGGCGCTACTAACACCTTTTTTTTTCTGTCAAGGGGTTACTTCTAATGATTTAGATATTTGCATAAAAGAATTCATAATTAAGTTTTTTAAATTTATTTTTCGAAAATATTTTGTATTATTGACTGATATTATTAGTGAAAAGATTGACGTGATAAATATTAATCAACAACGTCACATGTCATTATGTTATTGATTGTTTTTTAATCACATCAATTTATTATTAACAAAATTACTATGGGATAAAATACTTGATATAAATAAATTTTGGATGATTACTCGAAAATTTTTTTGTAAGTAACAATTGTGAAAAATGATATAATTCATAAGCAAATCATTGGATAACCCCCAAATAAAAAATTTACCTTCAAAGAAGGTTTACTTAGATTTGTAGATAAATAAATAGAAATGGGTTGGTTTACCAGCTGTTGTTGCAGTGGTTGAATTGTCCTATCTGCAGTAGCTTACCTTACAGTCTTTTACAAGATCCTTGGCGCTTAGCTCATGCATAGTTCATTTTAGTTCTGGTTACGATAAGCTTTAGATAAAGCAATTAGCTGCATCTTGACTTCAATGACAAGTGAAGCAAAAAATGCTCATCTTCTTCGAAAAACTTCTGGCATATAAAAAATTAATGGCAGAAACGGATGTCGACGTACCACAGTCGATCTTTCGCGTATTTGACAGAATACGGTAGTCTAAAAAACCGAATTAATTGATCAAAATCGCATCAAACGTGAAAATTTTAAAAATAATTCTTTCCTATGTCACATTTAACGATTCTCATTACCTACCATATAATATTTAATAATTTTTAAATATAACATTTAATTTTTATCAAGTAATGATTATTTTGATATTATTTATAAAAATCACATTTCATTTTACGAGATATTATTTATTTTAAATCAATAATTTTACGATTTTATCTTACAAAAAATATTTTATAAATTTAAATTTAAATATTTACATATATATTACACATTCTTTTACGTTATGATTTTTTATTTTATAATAAAACAATTATTTTAATTCATAAAAGCTTATCAACAGTCGATCTTTCACATATTTGGCGGAATATGATAGTCTGAAAAACTGAAAATGAAAATATGGGCATGAAAATGAAAACTTCCTTGAGGGAAATGCCGAGACTTAGGATTCTCATTCATTTCTGAAATGCATAAATGATTTACCCTTGCTTGAAAAAGTGTAAATTACACAGTGTTGAGGCAATATGTAAATGTGACAAAAAAAAAATCATCCACAAGATCTCCAAATTCTTCCCTCCAAGGAAACAACCATAACAGAAACATCATCATGATATTTCCGCCTATCTCCATGAGGTATGTCAAGCAATTCATGAAAATCCATTCCTGCAAAAAGTAAAAAAAATTCCATCAGTAAATGTACAATATTAAGTCATGGTTTTCAAAAGATTGCATTATATAATTCAGAATGCTGATTGAAATCCAAATCCATCCCTTATTGAAGTGGGAAGAAAAAAACCAAGAAAAATGACAAAGTTGTATTTTGCAGTTTCTTTTCACAGCAAACCACATTGATTATGCAGCTATGTGTAATCACAAGAATATAGCCTTAACTACATAAAATATAATGGAAAGACAATATATTCGATAATTATACCGTTCTTCTTGGCAGCACGGGATAGAAGCTCTGCAACGAGGTACTGTGCAGGATCACCTTCAGGAACATTTTCCATGAACCATGTAACATGGGCAACAACCTCTTCGTTGCTGAAATACTGGTAAAGTCCATCAGATGACAGTACCAAGAATCGGTCACTTGAGGAGAGTCGATAGTGAATGACAGAGGGAATGCAGCTAATGTAAGGAGCATTTCCCACATAATCAATTCGAAACATCTCTAGCAGAGCTTCATTACAAACTGGCTGCACCAAACAAGTGAAATCAACAGAGAACCAATCCTTTCAACATAAATGAAATAGCATAAAAAGACGACAAATAAAGCAGATGGGTCTTCATAAACATGGCCTGCAGCAAATTCGATGAAAAGTTAATGGCATTCCCAGCTTTACCTCATGTTTTACTTCACTATAAAGATGTAGTCTATGAATGGACTAAAAGGAAGCTACTAAAATTTAGGGCTCATGATTAACTGACATCCAAAAACCTTCAGAACTAATTTTCAAAGCACACTGCTTAAGCGTCTTCTTTTATAAAATATGTAATACAGTAATTAACGTTACATATAGTTTCACTCATCAAGCCAAGAAACAGGTATGTGATTTGAATGTCTAACTGCCAGAAGGGGCTTGATGAGATTACTAGACGTTATTTGAGGAGGAAGGGCAAGAGAGGGAGGGAGAAACTATTGATGGAATGATTCTCTTAGAAAGAATTTAAATTTGATTGAAAAGGATAGAGCACACAAAACTTGGCTATATTTTTGCTGACAGTTTAAGTGGTACAATGTAGGCACAGCAACAGTTGCAGGCATGTGTGTGTTTGCATGCATGTGTCAACATATACAAATATCTGAAATGAAGTGGTAACACTGTATCAGACTTCTAGTGGATATGTTTCATCATATGTAGACAGAAACACAAAACAAATTTCCTACCCGAATTCCTATAGACCTGCCTTTCAGTGCAACATCTGAAAAGAATTTCTTATTCAAAATTCATATATTTTGCACCATTTAACCTATCCATTTGACATAAACCAATCAGTTACCTGCTCTCTTAAATTGCTATGAAAGGCTAAACTAAAATCATCTCACGTTTTGAGTACCACAACTAATAGAACAATCATTTTTATGCATCCAGTAAAAGATTTTACCCAAATAGATTTAGCATGTTAATAGTTAAAATACCCAAACAAATTCTTGTTATAACCAAATAATAAATGGTACAACAGGTTACCTTGCCTGATCAAGAAAAGAGAAAGAAGCAAAAGAACAACCAAGAAATTCTGTCGGATTGTATTCATTTTACACAAAAGCATAATAGTTTCTATTATTTTATCTTTTCTACTGGTTATTCAATCTCAAATGATAGAAAGCAAGAGTCGGAAAAAAAAGACAAAAATAACAGTTAAAGATGCTAGCTCAACCAACCTTCTTGAGGAAACCAGCACCAAATGCTCTAGTGACTTTCAATTGCCCCTTCACCCTATCATTTGAAATGGCTTTGTCATCAGCAGGATGTTCTGCCTTTATTCTTAAGATTTCCTGCCATAGACAATCAAAAACAAGTGATTATTCCCTAAATGACTTCTGAATTCATATCTTGTTTTGCCATATATAAAAACTTGATGACTTTTACTTTTAGTTTCCTGAAAATTATAAACAAACTAATTTTTTAAGCCATCATCCGGCAACTAATCAATTGAATATTTATGTTAGTCATTCACATTGAGTACATATCCATGGATTTTGGCCATTTGGCAACACAACCAGGCCAAGGCTGCTAAAGGAGGATAAGCCCACTATGTGAGTAAATGGACCACCATTTTTTCAGTTCATCAACTTACACTGCCTAGCCAGCAGTGCTCTTTAAAGTGGAATCTATCCAGTTAAGATCAAAATATCAAATAAGTGGCAGAAAAACAAAGGTGTTTGAAGTGATCTGATATTATAATGCAGATTTGACTGTCAATTGAGACCAAACTAAATACACAAATGCATAAAATATTTCATTAAATTATGATCACTCTAGATTCAAACGTCATTCCTCCTATACATCTCATGTGTCATAGACATATTTTATCACTGCAAGTTGTCTCAAAAAGAATATTTTCACAGCTTAAAAAGACATAATAGTGATGAATATCATCAAAAGTCCAAAACAAATAAAATTCAATATATGTATAAATTGAGTTGAGCTTGTCCGTAAAACAGTAGCAAACCTCTTCAATACTTGTGCTGTGGTCAGTGGAAAGCTGAACCGCCTTCATCTTCAATCCGCAGATAGAGATGTCTCTGTTCTTATTTATTATGCTAACTTGACCGTGTTGGCTATGCATAGGAGACTCCTCTGAAATTCTGTCCAGCTCCAAACGCACTAGGGACTCTCTTGATCTATTTCTATGCTTTAAATCATCCTTCGCAAATTTTGGATTGGGGTGGCGATCATTTGGTCTTTCTTGTGCCAATATCACACGGCTATCCCCAAGGTTCAAGACATATACATCCTGGTTCTTCATTAACATCACTAGAACACATGATCCCATCAAAGCAAGCTCCGGGTTTGTGTCAAGAGCCCTTTCCACCATTTCCATATAAGCCTCTTCCGTAGTTTCTAGTGCTCGAGCCATCGCTTTCAACACAGCATCATGATCAACAACTCCAAACTTGCACCTCCTAATAGGTCCTGAAGATTCAACTATTCTCTCATCCACACAAATCTCTTCTCTGTGCCAATCATAACTCCAAGGAAAAAGCTTCTTCCGTAATGACTTCTGCATCCTATATATTTTCCGTATCTTTGAACCAATCAAAGATTTCCTTGTAGTCTGTCTTTGCCCCAACATGGAAGCAGTTGCAGCACTTTGATTATCAAAATCAAGCCCAACCCCACTATCTTCTCCAGAAGTAGAAGGATCTTTGCCTCGTATGTTAGAACTATCATCTTTGGAATTTGATGAGTTGATGCAGTCTAAATTATCTGAAAGTGGTTGACAATTGCAAAAACGCTTTCCTTGTCTATCCGTTTGTGAGATTAACAAAGAACCTTGACCATCCCTTGACTCCATCTGAAGTAGCTCATATAGCCGCCTGCTTTTCCTGCCTTGAG